GTTTGGCTCCTTAGGGTTCAGGGGGCTGACCCCCGGTTTTGGCTCCTTAGGGTTCAGGGGGCTGAACCCCGGGTTGGGCACCTTAGGGTTGGGGGGCTGATCCCCGGGTTGGGCTCCTTAGGGTTCAGGTGGCTCCTTAACCCGGGGTCAGCCCCCAGAACCCTAGGAAGCCCAACCCGGGGGTCAGCCCCCTGAACCCTAAGGAGCCAAACCCGGGGGTCAGCCCCCTGAACCCTAAGGAGCCCAACCTGGGGGTCAGCCCCATGGCCCCTAAGGAGCCCAACCCGGGGGTCACCCCTCTGACCCCCAAGAAGCCCTACCCGGGGGTCAGCCCCCTGAACCCTAAGGTGCCAAACCCGGGGGTCAGCCCCCTGAACCCTAAGGTGCCAAACCCGGGGGTCAGCCCCCTGAACTCTAAGGAGCCAAACCCGGGGGTCAGCCCCCTGAACCCTAAGGAGCCCAACCCGGGGGTCAGCCCCAGAGAACACCCAGAAAGCCCGCCATGGTGTGCGAGAGAGACAGAAAATTCGCCAGGTGGGACGCCGAAGTGTGCGAGAGATATAGAAAGCAGCCAGGGAGCCCACGGGCCGCCATGGTTTGAGTTCAGATCCGAGATCTGGTACAAAAGCCGGGCCATTTGGTATTTGCTCAAATGAGGGGAGAGAAGACCAGCGTCTTATTTAATAAGTTCGAATGTTTTGAATCCAAAGCAGCGGCTTTGCTAATTAGTTCCAAAGGGGAAATCCAACCTCTGCAAGACAAGTTCTCGGATCTTGAGCGAAAACACAGTACCTGCTGTCTGAGTTCTGGATGAGTATTTGTAACCCGAACTAATTGCCGCTTCATTGGAATATTGATCGATGAGTTGATTAAATAAGGGATTTTGAGGATAAAGAACTCTGCTTTTTTTGAGCTTGGGAGTTGATATCTGAGGAAACCAGTGGCACCATCGTGTTCCTCGCAAACTTTTACACAAGAATCAATAGTCAAATCGCAAATTCCTCACACATGCAACATCTCCATTACTAAGCATTTTCTCAGTAAAATATTGAAAAAACAAAAAGTGACAGTCTAATCGATTAAGAATATCCTACATTAGTAAATCCAAAGTTAACAAGAATCTATTGATATTGATCTGCTGATATTGAATCGCTTTACCTTAAGTTCCTTTTTTTCTTTGTGTGTACAGCCTGAAGGATGCATTTTATGGAGTGTGTCATAGGTATTTTTTACTTGTCCCATTTTGAGCTCCTTGCATTTTTTAATGACATTTTCAGAACCACTTTTCCCTGAAGCCACCAACATGGTTAATCATGGGTTGTTTTTTCAACCCGGCTTGCGACTGAAAATAAAGGGTTAGAACCAAAATTTCACGGAACCATTTTTCACCATTATAAGTCTTTTTGCCAAGTTTCAAGATAGGAATATGGATGAAGTGATAAGTGGGAATGCATGACTGATGGATTTCATGATTACAAAAAAAAGAATGAGCGAACATAGTAGGTACTGCAAATATTGTTGGTATTCTGAATAGAGCAAGACTGCCCTAAAAGGGTAAAAGTTATCGAAGGAATTTTAGAGGATGAATATTACATACCTTATTTATTGCAGGATCAACGTTTCTGCTCCCTCCTGCAAGTATAGAACACCGTCTTTTTTCTTGGCTTTTTCCATACAATTGAGTTTTAACTTGAATAACCTACCACAGCATTGAAGATGAAAATTAGAGTGTGGAAGGTTAAAAACTTCATGATGCTGTTAATGGTTGATAGTTTTATTCAGCATTTGTTATAAGGGCAACGAGTTACCTCTAGTATATAAGAATCCCCAAATTTACCTTGGAGAGTGCCTCTTAATTTAGAAATACGATTTTTTCCTTTTTCCAAACAAGTTATTTTTGGCCATTTGTAGGAAGTGCCTTTTATGGATGGTGTCCAGGGTAAAAAACTGGGGCTGCAGTAAATTGAAGAATTAATTACGTAACTTTTGTTTCTTTTATTTTGCTCATGGACCCACTTCCCGATAAGTAAGAGAGCATAGCCCCCAGAGGACCCGTGCATGCGCCACCTATGGTGCTCTTGCTGTACCCCACTTATAATTTTAAAATCCTGAAAAAGGTCCTTCATTGACGCATTATCTCATCATTTTTCACCTCGTCTTTTAAGCTGAGAAAACATGAAAGAAGTCATCCAGATAGGATAGTGAGAGATAAATTTCATAAAATTGAAAGTACTTACAGCTCTAAATTCGTCCAAATTTCTTGCTGCTTCAATAGTTTTGCTTGTGACCGGTCAATAACTTGTTGTTGGTCTTTTAAAATTTTACTTTCTCGCTCCTTTTCTGCAATTTTATCATTCAGTTTTTCCCTGAAAAATTATAGGAATGTTTCAAATAAATAATTTCTATTTCATAAATAAATAAAAAAAACCTCAGTAAGTTCAGTGTTAATTAAACTGATAGTTTCTTTGTAGGAACTAGATCCATAACTAATTTTGTTGCATTAAACGTAAGTTCCAGTTGATGATCCCTTCTGATCATCTGATCTCATTGACAAAGCTCTCAATTTCTTTCAGATAATAACAGACACTTGAGACAACGCCTCTTTTCTTGTTATAAAAGGGCCCATATTGGCCCCTCATAGCCCTTGATACCATGAATGGGACACATGCTGCATTCAAGCATGTGAGGTCATAAATATGTTACGAAATATGTTTGTGCAATATTTTTCCATTGGACACAAAGTTGGATTCTTGGCGACTTTGACAGTCTTTTTCTCAGCTAAATTTGTATCAAACGAGAAACAATAAAAATGCAGACATTTTATTTTTTACAAACTTTCTGAAAATTAATTTAAAAAAAAAAAAAAAATGCAACAACCCCATTAAGTATTCTACGAGAATAATTACATGAAAGGCCATGAAAGCAGCTTGCTAAGATTTTCACATTACCATTTTTAAAGTTACATTTATTTTGAGGGGGTTACTGAGAGCGGCCAAAGGGGTCATCACTTTCGTAAAATATTTTGCATGGAATATTAAATAGGGGAAAAATGAGAGCAGCCACTAATCATAATTCTCATCACCAAAAATGGGTTTTCCAAATTGTTTGTGCCTCCACTGCTTAAAAAAGAAAAAAGCCTGAAACTTTAGAAAATCAGCAAAAACTTAATTCCTGATCAATTATTTGGTTGCGCAAAGGTACTTACTTGATGGTTGTTTCTGTTTTACTTTTGTTTAGGTACAGTTGAGATTCATTCCTCACTCGCTGTAGATCTACCTTGGCAATAGTGCTTTGAGCCATGATCAAACTTTTCTCTGACTCTATACGCTCCTGCTCTTCTCTTAAAGCTTTCACTTCCTAAACAAAGAGGAAAGAGGAGAGAAAAATTATATTATACATGGAATGGAGCTTGTAAGGAATATTGTGCAATTCAAGTTATTGGATCATTGGTTAAGTTTTGGAGCAGGAAATAATTTGAGGGATATGCTTTTTACTCCAAGGAATCACATCCTACGTACAAAATATCACAAAGTAAAAAATACTTCTGATGAAAAAAAGAGAGAGAAGCAGACAAGCACGCGAACATGCACTTACAGGAGAAGAAAAAAGTACTTGAGTAAATCTCAAAAACATACAGGAAAATTTAAGCAAAAAAGATTAGATGCTAGTCAAAAACAAAAGTGTGTACCTGTTTCAATTTCATAATACTGCTGTCCAAAATGGCTGACTTTCGATTATAGTTATTTTGATGTTCTTCATATTCTAAACCTATATCTTTGAACTCTTTCTGCAAGGGTTTCAAGTCTGAAAAATAAGATCATTTTCCCTTTAAAAAAGCTTCAACTTAACAAAATGTTTTTTATAATAACTGTTTGCTGTAGATCTGGGGGTTCAAATCACAGTAGTGAAAAATTCTCTTACTCTAGGACACAAAAGAGAGAGCTTTCAAATACTGAGGGTGAATTTGAGTTGAATTTTTTGTCGTTTTCAAAAAAAGTTTGACCATTATTCTCTGCACCACTCACCATCTAACTTTGGAACTATCCTCGCTTTGCATTCGGCAATGTCACTATGGAGTTGTGATATTAAAACTGCAAGCTCGGTAACATCGGAAGTAATTTCACCACCCATATTTTTTATGTTGTCTTGTCTTGCTGTCTCAGGGTCATCAGAACCAGTTTCATCCTACAACAGGAACAATTCAGTGAAAATATTACATAAGCACAGTTTGGAGGGAATTTTTTTTGGGGGGAGGAAAAAGGGATGTCGAGATGTTGGAGTTTTTTTAGCCAACGTGCGTAAAAAATTCAGCTTAAAGCTGAAATCTCATTAGAGAGGGAAAAAGCTCACACACAAGCACAATTTTCCCTCAAAGAGATATGCTGTTTGGAGCAACACTAGTTACATCCATTCAGGAAGGCAACTACAGACGCGTTTCGGCCTTGTTGGGCCAATCCTCAGTGCAGTGCAGCCTCCTGAATTTTCTGCTACCAAGCTCGAGAGGTCGTGAAAACGTGAAAAAAGGATGTGTTTAAAACGAGAGACTATCCAAATTTTGTTGATCCCATGAAGAAAGATGCGACAATAACTTCAGAGGTACTTTGACTGTTCAAAGGTAACTTTGAATTGATTCCATGATAATTATGACAAAATTTTATAACAAAGTTGTTGGATCAATTATGTGATTGAAAGAATTTTGCAAGATTGAATGTACCAAAAAATGCAAAATTTTAAAATACTACACATTATCAGAGACTTTGAGATGCAATATTTGTGGAGAACCAAAATTTAGACATTTTACTGTTGTCTCTCAAATGCTTTTTGTGCAAATCACAGCTGCTTGATAAGTTCCCACAAGGTGCATCTTGAAAATACCATTAAGGCAATTTTCGTTTTGACTCAATGACTTTCTCAATCACAGTTGTTTACCTCCTTTTCTAGGTTTTTTCAAAACCACTCTTTATGATTCAGAGAAAAATTTTAAGTCTAAAATTAATTTCTTCTCAGCTGAGTGTAGATTTATACTTAATTTGGACGAGTTCACTCAAGAGGTATGAAATTGTCTGATTTGGCCTTTTTTTACTTTTGGTTGAGGATCAGACCTTGAGGTTTTATCCTTGGTCCTCCATGATGTCTCTTGTATCATTTCTCTATCACTGGAATTCTAAAGCTATGTCTTTTTCTTTCGTTGTTTAATGTGTTCTTCCTTTTGAAGAATTGATTGGATTTAACAAAAATCAGCCTGAGTGCATTACACGTTGCTTAATTTCCTCACAAGTAGGGGTCCGCGAAGCGGCGATTTTCAAAGGCGAAGCGAAGCGAAGCGAAGCTTCGCTTCGCTTCGCAATTTGCGAAGCAATGCGAAGCGAAGCGGACAAAAAAACCCCTTCAAATACGCTGGATGCAACCCGCGGAATTTCGTAGCGGTTACTCCAGCGAGCCGCGACTCAGCGTGCGGCAGTGGTAAATTTCATTGAACACTGGGAAATACGTGAAAAATACATTCATTAAATTTGCCCCCTCTTCCCTTAAATTTTAAGAATGAATTTTTATTGAGATGCCAGCAGATCTAAGATTTTTTTTTTTAAATTTGTCATCGGTTTTGCTTTAATGATCACGGAATGATAAAAAATAAAAACTGTTTTTACTTTTTATTTTTAGTTTCCTTTTAATTTTTTTTATCTAATTTAATGTAAAACAAAGAAATACCTAAAAAATTGTGGTAAATATAATTTAAAAACCATTGATTTAAACTTCTTAAGAAATTTTATTATTTATATTCAATTCAAGAACAAGAACACAAAGTAAAAAAGTCTCATAAGACGTAGGAACAAATAAGATAAACATTTGTTACAAATGTTATGAAAAAACGATTTACTTAAGTCAATAACGTAAATAATGCGGGACGGCCGCAAGCGCATGCGCAAAGAACCGGCTCACGGTATCCATCAATCATCGGCATTCGGCATCAATTGCGAAAGCGCGCGAAAATTTGAATTACCGCGAAATTTTCGCTTCGCTTCGCTTTTCCCGACCTCGCGCTCCGTTTTGCGAAGCGAAGCGAAGCTTCGCTTCGCTTCGCAAAATGCGAAGCAATGCGAAGCTTCGCGGACCCCTACTCACAAGGTTTATTTTATTTTGTAGAGAGGAATTTTGAAAAATACGTTTCCTTTGAACTTTCTGAAAATTTTCCCCTCAATCAACAAGAATAAACGCAACAAATTTCAAAATGGGTTGGAGTATTACTTAGTTTTCTGTTACAAAAATAAAACAAAAGAAGAAATTAGGCAACGCCTTATAAAGTTGGACTGCCCCTGGTTCAATACGTCCAATTGGACTGCATTTTGCAATTAAGAACTACAATTTCTGGCTCAGTTTAGAAACAACGTATGCACCATCAGTTTCCCTTTGGACACACTTGTTTTCACAGATGAGCCAGAAATCGTGGTTCCTAACTGCAAAATGCAGTCCAATTATTCTTTCGTATTTCAGGTTTCTCTTTTGCTACTGCTGTTGAGTCTTTATTATGTACATTTATTGGATTCACATTCTTACTTAACATCAAGGAATGAACACTTTTTCCCCCACACTTTATTTTTCAACTCAAATGTTGGTCGGGACAGTTCTTTAAGATTATTACTATCGTCAAGCATAATGTTGTTTATAAATATACTTGCTCACCAATTTAACATTCAATTTCCTTCCTTTGGCTACGAGCAAGTCAGCAGTCCTGGACAAGATCCCTTTCTCAGTTTTTATGATGGTCAACTCTGATCTACATTTTTTGTATAAAGAGCTGCGTGTTTTTAATTTGTTGACATAGCGTTTGAAGTCTTCCTCTTTCAAAATTAACGATTCTTCACCAAGAATATCTTTGATCTTCTCCTCCTTTTCCTGCAAATAAATAAATCAAGACTTAACAATATGATATTCATCTAGAATTTGGGGGCTTGCAAACGTACCCTAATGATGGCTGGGTAGGAGGCTAAAGAGGGAGTTTTTCTTTACTCTTTGCCATTGAACTTATTACATTTATTTATTAGAAAACCAAGAAAAAAAGTAATAAACAATGTATTGTTGGTTCACAGAAAAAAATACAGAGGCCGCCTGAGCCAGGATTGCAATGCATTCTGCCACGAATAGATTTTTAGATAGAAATTTAGAATAGATTTATTAGCGTGACAATGTTTTTGCTTTGAGTGGCAAGTAGAATTTTGTTGAATTGTATAGAGATAGACTAGTTTATGCGTTTAGTTTCAAGAGCTTCCTTCATCCCTATCTCGTATACAATAAACTACATTTTAAGTCTTACCTTACAAAGAGGTGGATAGACATGCTACTAGCTTACTGCTAGTGCGGTTTGTCTTCTTTCTTTTCAGGTATCTGTTCTTTTTTCATCCTAACAAACTAAAATTGCTCAAGAGGAATTTGTATTTATTTTTTGTTTAGGGGTTTGCAAACAAAAAAACCTCCCTCTCATGAGAAAAGCTTAAGGTGATTCAAAGTGATCTAGGGAAGAGATCTGCCACTGCGTTGCCCTGCTACACAGTCAGTCTTTAGGAAAAGATAATGGGCCTGTTGCAAACTTTTGCTAGAGCAAAAATAAGAGTTGTTCCTCTCAGAAAATGTCTCAAAGATCACAATGAGTGCATTGGAAAACTCTGAAATGCACTCCTAACTTCACAGTCTGCGTAAGAAATTTGCGTTTTTTTAAGATTCCCGCTTCAAAAAGGATACTACAGCACAGGTGAACATTTCGGTAAAGGAGTCACTCCATTCAATCCCTGCTCAACATGGCCGACGCTTCCGCACGCAAGTTGAGGACAGCACGAGGTTAATCAAGGCAGATATCTATCAAAGCGAGAAAAATGTGAGTGTAAACACATTGATTGTCATCAGGTGGTTAGAATCATCGTCCCGTCACAGTGTTTTGGCGGATTGGCGTTGGCTATGTTACATTGCGTAGTGTCCTTGTGAGTAGGGGTTGGATGGAATGACTCCTCTAACTAAATGTTCTTCAATGCCGAGGTAGGTATCGTTTTTGAAGCGGGAAACTCGAAAAACCGCAAATTTCTTACGCAAATTGTGAAGTAAGGAGTGCATTTCAGACTTTACCGATGCACTCATGTGATTTTGGAGACACTTTCTATGAGTAACAACTCCTATTTTTGCTCTATCAAAAGTTTGCAACAGGCCCATTACCATAATTTACAAGTTAATACAAGAATGGAATACATAGCAAATTAATGATCCATAACGAGTAGCAGCATTGATGCTGAGTAGTATAATACCAAATTTTTGAAGATTTGTTGATAATTTATATCAAAAAGTACCAAACTGAACGTCCTTCTTTCAATCAAGTTTTAAGATAAAGATATCATAGCACTATCTCTCTCCTACATAATACATCAACGAGCAACATTGTGGTTGGTAATTTTTCATGTAAATTTTCAATAAATCCTCACAAGTTTGATGTCATACTACTCAGTATAAGCGCTGCTACACATTATGGATCAGTTCTTTGCATTGATTTGTAGATTACAATAATTACTACCTCTCAAAGACCGAGACTATGGCAGCGCAATGCAAAGGCAGAGCTTGTCCCCAGATCACTTAAGATCGCGTTCGGACAGTACTACGATGGATTCTAGGGTACTCTTGTAGTAAGCGATGCATGAACTGAGCGCTTTGGAGGTTCTATAATGTATACTTAAATAGGAAGAGCTATGCGATACCTTCAGTTCAGTCTCTAAAGATGTTAGAGTTTTTTTCAGAGAGGCAAATTGTTCCGCAGCAGTGCTTTTCTTCTGAGCAATAAGTGTTGCTTGTTGGCGGTAAGGTACTAATTTTTCACTAGCAGGATCTACTGAGATTAGATGTTTCTCAATTTGCCTATTTATTTCTTGGTTGACCTCTTCAATCTATAAAATAAAACGGTTTCTTCAAAAAAAATTGTATACATAAATATGCATTTTAGGTACTTATTTTTCTTGCAAAATGATGAAACTCCATTGCATTTTGCCTTCTTATTTTTATTTTGTATGCTTACTAGACTCATAGAATTATTACAGAATTCTATAACAACAGCCATTATTTAAAAACAAAGAAAAATACTATAATCTATGAAATAATTGTATACATTAATTCTCAAAAGGTGCAACTGTGCTCAGCGTTGATGACCTAACAGTGATGCAGATGAGAGAAAAAATATTAAATGCAAGAAACAAAAAAAATATTGAGAATCACATGTGAACATGACAGAAAAATTCAGTTAAAATGAAATGACTTCCTGAAAAGTTGTCTTTTCATACTTATAGTGCTCAAAAAAGTTTCTAAGTATGAAAAATACAAGAAACACACTATAAATTTTCAAGAAGCAAAAGACATGAAAGCTGCAGGGCTTACTGTGCATATTTTGTCCTTGAGTTTATCAGTTTAGTCTAACCCTCCCTTTTCATCAACTAAAGAAAACAGGCTTAAAAATAGGAGAGAGGGCAGAGTGGGAGACTTTGGACATTTCCTGTTCAGCTAAAGGACCCCGTACACCTCTTATGGGAAGCTGCACCATGACCGATTGCATTCTGACTTATGTCATTTGATTCTCCTCAAGATGCTGATCAGGAGTTATAATTACGCCAACTTTCTACGATGCAACGTTTTCGCAAAAACGCAAAGAGAAGATTCAATTATTCGATGATAAAAAGCCAGAAAGATTCCTCATTTCAGTGCTTGATTGACAAGCGGCTGTGTTTCAACAAGGAAATCATGGGGACTCCCGCACCGAGGGACAGTCTTATCTCACATTCCGCACGCCGTTTTGCTCGACCATCCAAATCGGATTCTTGAGGAGCATAAGAACAGGAAAGTCTGAACGTCTGCCAGGCGAGTGTGGGAAGGAGAAAGCCCCTGAGTCGGCAAGTACAGATAAGGAGACGGACACGCGCTACGTTTTTTCCTTATTTACATCGGGCCTGCTCTCAAAAGCTTTGTTCTTTTTCGTTCATAGTCGCCGAATAATTGAATCTTCTCTTTGCGTTTTTGCGGAAACGGTGCATCGTAGAAAGTTGGCGCAATTATAACTTTTGATCAGCATCTTGAGGAGAATCGAATGACATAAGTCAGAAGGCAATCGGTCATGGTGCAGCTTCCCATAAGAGGTGTGCGGGGTCCTTTAAATTAAAATCAAATATCTAAATAGATACTAGGCAATAACATTACTTTGTTCCCTGTAATTTTCTAATGCGTGTTGTCTTGTCTAACAGAAGTTCCAGTAAGGTGCAAACTAAAAAGCAATACCAAAAAAGCAAGGGTGAGAAAGCAATCTCCAAGAAGGCAAAGATGATCTGCAAGGATATGAATGGCTGAGGTCAAAAATTGCACAGTACTGTTGCAATGTTTCAAAGTTTCAATAAGTTATTTATCATTTTAAAAAAGATTACAGCAACTTTTTTACTTTTTCAGCTTACTTCCCATACATCAAACAGGATTCACAGAAAATTATACATAATTATTCGACGATTTTCCTTTTAAAAAAAATACCAATTGACAGAAATTTACAGCATTGCAAATTGGAATGCATACTTTTTGACTTTAGCCATGAGTATGCAATTTCAAACTTGACAGTAGGCCACAAACTGCACAGTGATGAGAGACAGGAGGAACAGCACCTTTGCACTAATTTGAACGACTGAGTCTCTGGATAAATTATCATCATTGCAGACCGATTCTAAAATTTTTAATTCCTTTTCAACCTGTTCGATTTCTCGGGGTAGTTTTTGATTTGTGACATAAGTTGTGACTTCCTTCTCTTCATTTAGCTTTTGAAGAATTCCTAGAAAAAAGGCAGTACTTCGCTCTTCAAAAAATAGAAACTTTATCCAGGTTTTCGAGTTGTGCCTGAGTAGCAAGGATATACTAAACAGGCCAACCTGCAGAAATGTCTTTTTTGACTAAAAAATGTGTCCAGATGAAAAAACCTGACTTATTCTGAAGAAGAATCATATTTTTGACTCAAATGGTGGTAAAAAGGGGGGGGGGGAGTATCACAGCGAAGCGATTTTGACACTCTTGTTATCAAATTCAAAATAGGTCTCAGGAAATCGAGAAGATGCATATGTCTTACAACCTGTTGAAAAATAATACACACTTGTTATTTCAGCCCTTGGGAACTATACAGGGTGGCCCAGACCTACCGTACCAGGCCTTTTTTTCGGTAAATTTGGGTCGTACGAAGTCCAGGAACGCGGGGATATGTAGGGAATTGACCCCCAGGAATCCGAATTTCATGGTCCCAAAGCCCCCCTGGCATCCCTTAGGGGGTAAAAGGGGGGTCCGTACTTCAAAAGTCAGGGTTTATGTCAAAATTTTGAAATTATTTCATCGGAATCAGAACGTACGGAAATTTTTTACTTAAATCAACACCAAGAAATCCAAAATCGGCCAATTTATGTCCAACATACCGATCCCTAAAGGTGGGGGATAGAGCCCCCTTTCAAAAAATTCAAGTTCGTTAAATTGACGTGGAGACTCGGAAAAAAGTGTATTTATGGGTAATCGACCCCAAGGAATCCAAATTTGAGGGTCCTGTTGTCCTCAGAGACTTTTCTGATGGGGCACAGGGGGTCTCTGAACTTTTAAATTCAACCGGTGTGGAGGTTACCCCTGTGCCCCATCAGAAATGTCTCTGAGGACAACAAGACCCTCAAATTTGGATTCCTTGGGGTCGATTACCCATAAATACACTTTTTTCCGAGTCTCCACGTCAATTTAACGAACTTGAATTTTTTGAGAGGGGGTTCCATCCCCCACCTGTAGGGATCGGTATGTTGGACATAAATTGGCCGATTTTGGATTTCTAGGTGTCGATTTAAGTAAAAAATTTCCGTACGTTCTGATTCCGATGAAATAATTTCAAAATTTTGACATAAACCCTGACTTTTGAAGTACGGACCCCCCTTTTACCCCCCAAGGGCTGCCAGGGGAGCTTTGGGACCATGAAATTCGGATTCCTGGGGGTCGATTCCAAACTCATCCGCGCGATCCTGGACTTCGTACGACCCAAATTAACCGAAAAAAAGGCCTGGTACGGTAGGTCTGGGCCACCCTGTATTTAACTATTTGAATAAATGCCAAAATTACTTGATTACAGTATTAAAAAAACTAATTTGTTCCATGCTCTAGTGATTATGGCAACAGTGTAAAAGGTTGAATTAAGTTCCCAGATGCTAAAACAACAGAATTAAGAGGTATGAAAAGGGCAGAGGTCCAAAACATCATAAGCCGTGGCATTCATTATGAAAAAAATCTAGCATGTCTCATAGATACTTGGACTTCCACCTATTTGTACATTAAAATATACAATTAATTTCAACATTCGTCATGCAAAAAGGCTGGAGGCTTCAATATCTATGAGCTATGCTTAACATTATTGAGAAAGGATGCCACGGCTCGTGAGTTTCAGTACTTTTGCTGTTCCAGCAAATTTTGATTTAACAAGAGTACATTTTTTTCTAACAAGTTGTGGGACATATGTGCCTTTACAACTTCGCAAGGCATGTTTTGAGTTTGATGACATGAATGTCAAAGTAAGATCGTTTTGCCACTCACCAGATCAGCTGTGCAGTGACACCCCCCCCCACCCTCATTCCTCTTGATCTAACCACCCATAAGTCGAGAGGGTGATTTCCTCATTCATAATAGACCCCAGCAGCCTGATGGTTGAAATTTTGTGTTTGTCGGGTAGACATAGATGACATAGGTTAAAAGGCGGAACATGATTGGTTGGCTATGTCTTATCGCTGCTCTGTCGAGCCTATGTCGGGTGGAACTCACGACAAGCTAAAGGCACCTCTCAAGTTTCCGACAGAATGTCATCCATTCCACCTGACAAAGGCACGATAAAGCAGCGATAAGATATAGCCAACCAATCATGCTCCGCTTTTTAGCCTATGTCATCCATGTCTGCCCGACAAACACAAAATTTCAACAATCAGGCTGCTGATGCCTTCATCAGAGATGCAGTCAATTTTTTTTTAAGTTGTATTTCGTAACCAAATAACACATTTCTGCTGGTCAGCCTGTTACCTCCTCATTTAAATCTATGTACTTTTTTCTGAAATATAAATCGCTTTGCACTTTATCTAAAAATGCTTTCAATTGGCTCAACTTCTAGGTAACTTATTGTTTTCATGGAAAGAACCAATTGCCACTCAGGTCCACTCAATTTTCAAACATGACCAAAATTAGCCGCACTCTAATTTCAGCTAAAAGCATAAGTTCCATTCTCACTAAGAGCCATGGCGCATGAACCTACTCAGTTAATTGGGATATTGTACTACAATTCACAATTACACAAAGAGAGGATTCACAGCAATAGTGGAGATCTTGTTATTTGGCAAAATCTATGCATCTTAGACTTGAACTCGCATACTTTCATAGTGCGAACTGGTGCAAATTCCTTGAAAATTTACAACTGTATCAATGCTAAAGTTCACCTGGTGGAAAAGAACTTTGAAATTTAATTTGACAGAAACTCTTCGGAAAGAGTAAAGACAGTCATGTTCGGTTTTTTAGGAAGCTCATTTCACAGCAACTGTGAAATCGCATTAAAGTGGGTATTGAAAAATACCTTCGACTGTCATTCCTTGTGAAGCTTGCTTCAGGTCCTCCAATTGATGCATCATGCTCATTTGTTTCTTCTGGCACTGTTGTAACAGTACTGTTTCATTCGATATTTGATTCATGAATTCTTTTCGTTTCTCTTTCTCAATTCTTAGAAGGCGACTTTCTTGAAACATAATATCTTTTTCTGGCAAAAGTTCCGTCTGAAACAAAAAATCGATGTCACTAGGTGTCACACTCCTCTTCTAGCAGTTTATAACCAGCTTCATTACACTCAGAATCGGTAATTTCGGCTTCAAAGTTGAATATGGTATGATACAAATATTTCCAAAATTACATGTGTCCCGATACATTAAAAATGACCACATTGAGTTGACCTGAAACTTTTAAAAAACACGCGAGTTTCTTTTTCCTACCCATCATTAATAATTGAAAGGTACAAAAGGTTACAATACTTGGCGATGACACACTGCAAGAGCAAAGAAAGATATGATATCAAAACTGACAAAAACTTCCCTAAAATGCACAAAAGTACATTTTGAAGTGTGAAAAGAGATCGTTCATGATATATCTGTGCACATTCTAATCTCATTTAAATCACAAAAAGCCCTCATGAGGTTCTTCTAGAGCTGCGAAACTTCTCTGAGACAAGTGTCAGTCTAATTCATCAGTAAACAACCTGTCTACCAATGGTGCTAGGAAGCAACTATCAGTTCATACAAAAAATTTCCATCCTTCAAGATTTTTCAAACAAGGTGTCATCTGATGGAAATTTCCATTAGAAAACTGCTCCCCCCCCCCCCCACGTCACTAGAAATTAGGACTAGCTCAAAAAAGATTCCTCATTTTATTTCCTACTTTTATTGACAGCATGACAATATCTACAAGCGTTTCTAGGATAACGAGTATCTCTATTCAATCACCATTTTACGTAATAGACAATTGTATAGACAGCATTAAATTCACACCTTTTTCTTCAGCTGGTCGATTTTTTTTAAAACAATATCTTTTTCTCTTTGCATGGCATCCAAATCTGCTCTTAACTCGGCAATATTGATCTTCGCAGTAGTGGCAGCAACATACTCTTTGTGGACAGCTTTGAATTCTTCGATTAACTTTCCATACTAGAAGAAAAAAGAGATACAGATGGTGATTATAAAATATTATCGTTGAGGAATAAAATGAAAAGACCCTAGAAATTACTCAGCAAGTGTTAGTTTCAAAAAGAGTTTCAAACTTTCCAAAATAATATTTTAGAACTTGTTCTTCATCCTCTTTTCCCTAGTTGAATATGGATGCAGTAAAGAAATTTAACAAATCAGGGCTGGATATTGGACAGTTGTGCCTTTCCTAGAGTTTTAGTGAGGGTGTTAAATCAAAGTGTTCTTTTCTAAATTTTTCCAGCTCAGCCCAGTGTATGGGCAGCAAAAAATTTGTCAAATCCTTTTCATATAAGTTGGGTAGGTAATCTTTATCGGGTTTCATTCGAATTAACTGGAAAATTACCTTTGTATCCCTGATTAGATATTTTTCTTTTTTTGGACAACCATGACCATTTCAGATGTTTAAATTAGTCCATCTTCAGGCCTGCTTTAGTTCACACGTATGAAGAAAATTGCGGTATTCAAGGGGTGAGAGAATGGGAGCAGAAAAGGAGAGAAAAAATGACCACTCTCAGAAATCTGTGGAGATAAAAAATATAAAAAATAAAAAAGATGCGAGGATGGGCAGGTTGGGTTACGAAGAAACAAAGTAGGGGATACGTGGAATTTTAAAGATATATACAAAGTGTCTTGAAAAATAGAGGTGATGTACTCGTCAAGGTCAGTAATTCAACGAGGTGAGGACATTTCAATTAAAAAAAATTTATAGAGACCTCCCACTGAGTTTCGAAATCCAGGACGAAAATGATCAGAAAATTACGTGCTCTTCACAAGACCAAAAAAAGGCAGAGGAGGAAACCAAATTTTCCCATCTCTGGAAGTACATATTTTTGGCTGAGATCACCCACTTTATGCAGTGTTTTTTTCCAAAAAAGGCCATTTTCATTGCCTCAATAGTTGTTGAGAAAAAATGCGGATTCTTACTTTTAAAATTTTATTTATGGGAAGATTAATACTTTACCTGTTCATATAAGGCAGCAATATCAACATTTGCTAAAATCTCCAGAGGAATTTCAACTTTCACTAGGAACTGTGCCAGATATGCCCTCTTTTTGAGCTCTGAAATATTTTGGAACAGCCATTCAAGGATAGGATGAATAATTTTTTTATCACCTTTCGCCAAGCCTTGCCGAAAATCTGAACTAAAATTTAAAACAGAAAAGTGATGAGGACACATAAGATAATTAGAGGATTACTTCACCAATGAATATTTGGGATTTATTGGATAGATTTGTAACTTAGCAAACCTACCCTTTAAAATCACCTGTTAAAGTATACAGCCTCATACTCCTGCTTCTTACCAAAATAGAGTACACCAAATAAGTTTCCGCACTTTTAGACTGTGACAGAAGATCCGCCATCTTGATTCTGCCATTTACTTAACATGTAAAAGTGATGTCAGACGATCACAGTCTAGAGGTGCGAAAACTTCTTTGCCGTGGACTCTGGCATTGACTATTATTGGTGGCAAAATTATCATTAAATTATTACAATTCTGGTAAAGATAGTTTTGAGCAGGAAAGGAGAGAAAAAATGACCACTCTCAGAAATCTGTGGAGATAAAAAATATAAAAACTAAAAGATGCGAGGATGGGCAGGTTGGGTTAGAAAGAAACACAGTAGGGGATACATGAAATTTTAAAGATATATATATATATAGTATCTTGAAAAACAGAAAGTAATTGCACTATAGTTGCAACACTATTGCATGTTGTCGCATGTTGTGGGTGGCAATTTCTACCAGGCGCTTCCCTTAGTTTCTTACCACAATGCACACAAATATTTTTAAATTCTCACACTATTTTACAGAATAATAGTCAAAATAGTTTGTTCTTTGGCTGTTTGGAGTCTGTCTCAAAATTATGATATCTGGATTGGGTGGTATTAAACCTAAAGGTGAAGTAAAATATGATCTTATTCTTCCTATTTTTTTAGAGACGTCTTAGTATGCTGGCCTACTACAAACAGCAGAAGTACAAACTGATGGCGGTAGATGCACGAGTCATTTACACAGCTTGTCTCTTTAAGGGAAAATTGTTCTCCAATGAGCTTTTTCCCTCTGTATTGAGATTCTCAGTATTATGCTGAGTTGTAATGCATGTCGGCTACACCACCCAACTCTCTAACTAAACAACAAAATTGGTTGAAAGAAAAATACTTAAAGTAATAAAGTAAAATTTACTTGAGGATATTAGGAGCTGAAGATGGCATTTTTAAATTCTTAATTTATGAATAAAAAAGTACTCACGGGGATAAATTATTGGCAGGTTTGTATTTTAGGACTCTAAGAGAGTTCAACAATCTTATTATCATGTGCTCTGGATCTTCAGGCTCATCTGCAGGCTTGAAATTCTTGTCAATTTCGGCAAGGACTTCTTGAAGAATCTGTAAGTTGAAAATCTTGTAGTTAAATGAGCAGTTCAAAGAGATGGCCACAGAGGAAACATTACAATTTCTGACAGCCTTGTTGAATTTCAAGTGAAGAAGAGTAATTTGAAATCACTACACATGAAATTAATAAAATTAAAACCTGATGTAAAGCCATGACTATTCCTCATCTTGATCTAATGCAATGTACACGAGACTGAAGCAGAGTGAGCCACGTCAGGTGGCGCAAAACATTAAGATAATGGTCATTTTGTATTTAGCATATTGAGTCATGAGAAAATTGAATTCTCAGGCTGGTCTCTTTACCTTGATTTTTAGGTTTCAAAAGACATCGAAAGAAAAACTTTTTTCTTCTAAAATTTAGGCATTTGTAATCATGGCAGTTCTCCACTGGGGTTGAAGAACCAGCTGGCAGGTGTGGCGGAATAGATTCGCTGTAGGGCAACCTAGAACTAACATGGGTACTCACATCGTCAAAAATAAACTATCCCAAGTAGCAGTGGTTGCAACAACTAGCAACAAAATCGTTTGATTCTTGCAACTCATAGATTGATGTGCAGATTGCCTACTCTCTCCCCCGAAGGAGCTATCATTGTTGGAACTAGTTGCAGTTAAGTTGAAACATGTTTCAACTTCAAAGTATTGCTGGTTGCCTATATTTAGATTTTAAACAAGTTTGGTTCAGCAATTTTGCAATCTCAGCAGGATGCAACTTTGTCTTCCAATCAGATCGCCGAAAATCGGCACTTATCGACCAAAAGTTGAAACTTTGTTGCAACTAATACCAACATTGTTTTAACTTGTTGCAACTTTGACATTGAAAAATGCTGCTTGGGATCCACTCACCTAGATCGCTCAAAATCACATGTACTTAAATGGGCAATACCGTTGCTGTCAGTCTACAAATCATTGAATTTTGGTCAGTGTATCCTTTTTATCTGCATTTTGTGCTCTGATCTTTGGAGTATCTAAGTTTCGGAAAATTATATCGGTACATTTTCAAGATATTTACTTCAGAAATACCTCTGATACTTCGCTCAGGGATGAGTTTTAGCGCACTTCAAGCGGCAGTACCAATCAGAAAAAGGACTTTCCAGCTCAAATGTTCCTTTATGCAGCGAACCCAGAGTGCATTGAAAGATTGTCCATTTTGGATTAGACGATCATCTCTGCACGTCAGACGGAAATGCGAGTACATACTTAGGTTACCTAAGTTCTCTGTACCTAACTTTTTAAACAGAACAAGCTCCTTTACATAATAAAAAAGTCTGCAGAAAAAAAAACAAGCAGATTTTTGAAAGGTCTACAAAGATTTATCCGTAGGGCTACTGATAGAAGAGAACTTGCCGAACCTGGTTGAGTTCTTCAGGAGATATGGCATCAAAGGAGATAAGATTGAATTTTTTGTTGAATGGCTCCGCATTCAAGCAACTGATGACAAACTTGTTGTCACAACTTCTCATGGCGAAGAGCGCAAAGGTTGTTCGACAAGATCTGAAAATAAAAAACTATGTTATGACAATGTTATGTAGGTATTCCAAACACTGATGACTTGAGACAAACACTTACACAAACTAGCATATATATCATGATCAACTTCACACATTTATCACTGCCCTGTTCTGATCACCATGACAACATAAGAAGGAGAGAAGGATTCAGGGAACTTTGTTTGTTCATACGGAAATGAAAGACGAAAGCAGGACGAAAGACCGGGGAATATATTCATCCATGCCGGGGAGGACTGTGCACTGTGTAAACAAACCAGCCTTTTGATAACAACAAAAATTGATAAGCCTCCAGCTAAAATAATTTTAGGTTATGTTTAGATTCTGTTGTGATCACCGTTCTTTTGCAAGCAATTCAAACCTGATGGGTTGGCCCTGCCTCCGCTAAGTACTTTCTCAAAGCAATTTATCTAATCTTGTAAATTTTCTAGTTCGAACATTAATGCCATTTTTGCTGTGATTTCGAGCCATAGAAAACGTGATCCATCAACAAATAGACTTTACTCAAAGTTTGATAATGAATGTTTTTCGCAACATTTGTTCAGTCACCAACCAGAATTGTTCTTTTTCGAACGGATCCTGTGTGGTTTTAAAATCCATCATCTCGTGAACTTCATCAAAACCTTTAACATGGAATGCTTCGAGCTCAGCCGCAGATTCAGAATTTATAGAACTCTAGAGAACAATTTTTCGTAAGTTGAAGCACCATCAAACCATTTCTTTCTTTCAGGTTTACTCTTCCAACTTTCTCACCGAATTAGTGGTAGTTAAATCCCTTTTAAGGCTCCTCATCTCTGCCTAACTTCCTGCAATGTTCTTACTTTTATTTGACAGCATGACTTCAGCAGGAACATATTATTAGAATAGTAAAACCAGTCGTAGTATTGCGGTTGTACCCAAGTTTTTCCTACTTCCTGTAAAATTGATGTTGTTGAAAGTCAGATGAAAAGTTGACTATAATATTATCTGCCAAAGTCGTCTACAAGTCAAGTCAAAGTCTACAGCCCATTTACTCTTGGGAATTATTAGAAATATCAGAAAATATCAACTTTCAAGCTTAGCTTTGAAATGGACTGATGACAGTATCCTCTCAAACCTAATTCACATGGTTCAACTTTCCATACAACACAAGTATATGAATGCCAAAAAATTTGATTCAATTGCCATTGCTGTGTGATATCATCAAACAGAATTCAGGTATCACCGTCAGCCTCCAGTTCACGAAGATACAGCTGTGGCTACTGTCAATTGGAGGATTTCGTTTCAACTTTGCGCCAACTGGATGGACAGTTGGTGAAATGAAAAGTTATAAAAATGAAAAAGCTTGCAACCGTAAGAGCCCAATTTTTCCTGCGATGACTACTTTCTACCATGAAAAATGTATTACCTACATGCTCTCTTGCTTAAAATGACAGCATGGTAGTGGTGGTGGAAATAACAACCGTGTTCTCTGTGAAGCTTTCACTGGATGAGTACATACCTCTGAAAAATTAGGAAACACAAAAGATGTTAAGTAGTATATCTGATTTCAAAGTATCAAGAAACTTTATTCAAACCTCAAGGACCTTGATTGTTTTTCTTCTCAGATCTCTCCAAGTGATTGCCCTCCAGAAGTCATCAAACACGATTTATTTTTAATATGTTTATTACCGCTGTATGTACCAAGAATACTCAATCAAATTTCCTCTCCTTTCTCTTTTCAGGTATAAAAAATTGCTCTTTGTAGTTGTCACTCTTCTATTAATCATCCTGTATGCACGACCTGCATTTGAACCATATTTTTCAAGTGGGGATTTAAATGCTGTCAGTAAGTAATTATTGTAATTATTTTGCTCTTTTAATCCAACTCTCTCAAGTAGCATATTGTGATTTTACATAGGTTCCAGCTATGTCAAGGATGCATTCAAAACGTGGTGAACAACAGTGAAAATTTGAAAAAGTTAAGAAATCAGGGTCTAATAATTAGTTTGCCAAATGTTTTGCAGAGAGTCATGTTGGTCCCTATAATTTAGAATTATATCAATGGCCATAGCTTGAAATTTATACAATATATACTGCCAACAGAGAAGAAGAGTCAAGGAGGTTTTCAAAAAAGTTCATCGATGAGCTTTCCAGAGAAGAAATAAAGTATGATTGGAAGTCTGTAGCGTCGCAAACTGAGATCCGAGGTCGCGGATTTACACTATTGACACATTTCTTCATAATGATTAAACATAACCTAAAGACAGCAGTATTGTTGAATTAATACTGGGTTTAAATCATTAGCTTTAGGCGACATCATATGCCAAGGATGGCAGTATGCTTTTCACTGGTAATTTTTGATCCATTACCTGTAATATTCAATTTTAGAGACTTCAAGAACAATTTTAGAACATTTTTTGAAGTATATTTTACTTGTAATAAAAACTTACCTTTTACTCGAAAGTTTGTTTGAGTGAAAGGTAAATGATACAATTTTGCCAATGCAAGATCTTCTCAGAATATTGAAGTGGGATGGCAATATAAGCCAGAAATGAAATTACTCTATAGTCCCATTGTTTGTGCACCTCCTGGAATTTTTGACATGATGTGTCCTTGTCGGAGGAAGGAAAGGATCAATTTTCTGCATCTCTTTTTTTTCTCTAGATTTTGCTGGCAGATGTTTGGATGACCGCTTAACAACATTCTACTATGAGGTTGAAGAGTTTGACGCCAACATTGTTCACTCACCTAAGAGAGAGAATGAAAAGGATCTACTCCCATTTGTCGGAAATGGGTATTTTGGTATTGTTGTGAAAAATGAGTCACCCCTTTACTTGAAACATGGCCGTGTCTTATCGTTACCTCTCAACTGGTCACCGTTGGTCAGAGTGGAATATTTAGATGACAGTGAGAAAGCATCTGTTGTTCACTTTCTCAGTGGAATTACTTATGGCTATGAATGTCATGAACGCGGATCGTATGTGACTCACCAGTATTATGCGCATAGAGTGATTCCATCATTGTTTGTACAACAGATCAAAATTAGCAATCCTACAAGTCAAAATCTTTACTTCAATTTGATTCAAAAGAAACATTTTAATTGGCCTTCAGATGCTACCCGCACAAAAACGTAAGTTTCTTTTTGTTATAACATAATTAAATTGGGAAAAATATTGTAACTAAATCAGGAACCAATTTTTTACAGAAAGCAGGTATGATTACTAGGGTTATTTTCCTTGCAAGCACACAAATGAACAAATATTTACAAAGCTAGGAAAATTCTTTTGGGTGCCTTTTTTTTGTTTTTTTGTTGTTGCCATCACACCTTTATTGAACTTTTTTTGAGGAATTTGGTGGAACCTCAATGAATGACTATACTGTACATTGAAGCATTCTCTTTGGGAGAGAATGGCAGTTTGTGTGCTGCTTTCTCGTCGGTTCTTGCCGATTCATGCCTACATGAAGCTTTAATGGCTACAGTAAAAAAAATCTCTGAACTGCCTCCTTTTAGAGGGAATTTGATGGAATCATGAAATATTCTAGTAAAGGAATTTACCCAGAAGGTACCTCCAGGTTTTAATGATTGGTTAATTTGATACAATTTTTTATTTGATCCATTCTGAGAAAGACTGTAAGGGTGTACCTAAAGTCTTCACTTAAGAGAGGATAAGTGTGAACACAGAAGTCAACCAACCAGTAGCATTTATTTTCCCTCCTTATTTACACTGTATGAGCTTCAAGATCAGGAAACCCTGGAAGGACAGCACAGATTTTATTTTATTGAGTCATGGAGAAGTTTTAATTTTTCTTCAAAAGGCATTATGTAAACTCTCATTGCTCTAAGTGTAAGTTCTGTTTTGTACTTCAAATTTTCATGCACCATTTTGAGGTATTTGCCACTAATTATCATCAGCAAAAACACTTATATATTATGAAAAGGAAGACAACAAACCGATCCGTCTTTATTTCATTCACTGTCAGAAAATTACAATTTTATAATGATAGTATAATGATGCTTTTTAAATTGTGAAGCAGGTAATCTACTATCTAAGAACTTACAAAGTTTGATCGGACTGTGAAATAGCCTGATGATCAGTTTAATCATTATTTTTCCGAAGCTCAACCCTTCAGGGATGCCTTCTTTCTCTTTGTTTTTCATACAATTTCAAATTTTTAGTTACTTACATTCACCATGTCATACCTTAATTCCTTCCATCTCCTTCATATCTGCTATTCCATCTTGTGCTTTCAGTTTCCAGGATGACCTAAAAAATGAAATTGAATACATGGTGATATCTGAAACCATTCCTGAACCATCAAAATCAAAAAAAGTGATAGTTGTTTCTTTAATCACCAAGAAAATCCCAGATCGAGTAGAGGTATTGCTTTATCTTTTTCTTGGTAATTTATGTCTGCTTTTTCTAACGTAAAAAAGATAAATAATAAAAATTTATTAAAAGAGTCAAAACTTACAGTTATTGAAATTTATGTAAGATGTACCAATGTAACAATGAAGAACAACACTTATTTGAATCTCAATATTTTATTCCTTATCTATGCTATCTTCCACTTCAAAAAAAGGCAAAAAGTAAATCCTTTTGTGTTAAACCTAAAAAGATTTTAAACCCACAGTTTTAAACCCTGTCAAGCCTAAAAAAGCTGTAAAATACACCAATATACTATACTATTCTAATACTTCCAAGAGTAAAGTCTTAAAATCCCTTTTTGTATGTCGTATGAGAGGGCAAATTTCTGAAAATTGTCCACCAAAAAAATGTTATTAAGAACCTTCTCTCCTAGAACAGAAGTCTAGCTGGGCTCTCTAGGATTTTACGCACTGTTTCTGAGTTATTTGCCTGTTAGTAATAACAGGAATTAGATTGCTGGGGTGCAGAAAGTTCTTTGCATTCGCATTTTGTGAGGCAGCCTTCATATATTTTAAGGCTACCTTCACATCAATGTCCTTGTAAGACTCCTTTCTTTTCACATTTTTTAGGCAGCCCTTACATTACTGTGTACTGAAGACTGTCTCTCACGATGTATAAATCACCTCTATTTACTATTTCCTTGCTTTTGTTTTACTTATAATTTTGCTCGGTTTACATAACTCATGGTTAAAATATTAGTAGAACTGTTTGTTTCGTTTCTCTGACTTTGTTCAATTTTTTTCATTCACAGGTTAAATCTTTACAAGATTTGAATTTAAATATTTTTACTGTAATTCATTACTCTGATCCAGTGGATGTATCTGATGTTCAAAAAACTAAAGAAACAACTGAGAAAAAAGCTATTGAAGTAAGTTTTTGCCGAACTTGTTTGAATAATGTTTCAGCTCTGTTAGTAAAAGCTCATATGCAGCATTTCTAATAGTGGTAGTTTGGGGCTTCCCCAATGTTTGATTTTGAATGTATACATCAATGGCCAAACTTAAAAACCACATATCTTGACTGTGTTGCATCGAAATGACCTTCGCAATTTTATTCTCTTAAAAGAACATAAGCTGACTTTATTGCTTTAACTCTTCAATGCATAACTTCAAATCAGAGAAGAAAAGTCGTGAAAAATTTTTAAGAGATCAACCAAATCAAGTTTTTTTTTTTTTTTTATAGGTGCTTTTCTGGTAGACGTTCCATAGGTGCTTTTCTTGTGATTATGCACAAACAAAGAAAAAACACCATCTCTAATCAATGAATTTTATATTCTCACAAACTGATGCACTGGTTGCACTTTTAAAATAATGAAGTTTAAATGGAATACCATAAAAATTGGATCAGGTCTCCATCAAGGCCAGCTTGCAACTTTGGGTCGGAGCCATCAAGAGCCCCAACAGCTTTCTAATCATGAAAAAATTAAGCTTCCAACGTTGCTCACCATGATACCTACAAGATTTTCTAGTTACGTCATCGACTAATGTTACAAGGTCCATGGTTACAGAGATCACATGAAAAGCATAATGGAATAAGTCCTATTAGACATATTTACAAAAAATGAGAGAGTGAATCAATTGTATTTGGAAGTAGAATTCGTTTCAGTGAAAACATTGGGCTAGCACATTCTGGATGCATGTTTAAGTGAGCACATGCAGTATGGAGGAACATGTGTGGAGAACTGCAAAACGCATGCATTGCAAATCTTGCAATGTGACTCATTTTTTAATACTTTAAACAGGTATAGGAATAATTTTCACTCCATACGAGGCTTAAACCAGTCTCTTTCCTGTATGGATCTAATCATGTAGAAGCATTGCTGCCTTTGTCAATGTTCTAAGTTGTGTAATGTGTGCCTCCTCATTTTAAAATACGTCTGACTTGTCTATCAAGGGCTTTAATCCATTGCTTGGTCACATGAACCCTGTAAGTGTATCGATGAGAGATGGTTTGACTTGCAGTTTCTGTATGAGAGCTTCATTAATTTTTTTACTCCGATGTTGTTTGTCCGTGATGGTTTGCTGTAGCTGCTATGTTCATTTCTGTTTTTTTCCACTCAAGAAATACTTACATTTTTTTTTTTTTGGTTTCAGATAATATCTCACGTCTTACGACAAAGCATTGATCGGTTGAAACAAGATCATGTTCTTGTTTGGTCTCAACTTTGGAGCACAGGATTTTACGTCAGCACCTCAAAAGCAGCAGATGCCATCAATGGTGATGTCATCAATGCAACAATGTATTATGTTTTATCTCATCTGAGAGCTCCTTTACATGAACTGACCACCGGTGCAAAGACAAAAAACGAAGTAATAAACAATCTCTCCTATGCTGAGGGCTGCTATGGAGGTCATCATCAAACATTGTAAGCTTCTTCTTAGAATTTAAATCTAATATCAGTGTATAAAACTGCAATGCTACCGTAAGGAGAATGCATCGTGAGCATTTGAATGTTGCAAAACTTCTTTCAATTTTGAAACCATCAAGGATTTGCGATTTAAGTACTTATTTTTGCATACAATTTCACGAGAAACATGATGGTGTCACTGATTTTCTCTGAAGTCAACTCCTATGCTGAAAAAGAGCTCTCAAAAAGAAGACCCTAATGGAAAAATCCCCCTTGCTTTGCTTAGCATCCACCTGTACATGCAGTCAAAATCTCCATGCTCACATAAGGAGCACATATATTAGCAGGGTAGCCATTTTCTTTGGAAACTCCAAGGCTGAAACCGCGGCAACCCTGCCAACGTATTTGCTCCTTGTCTGTGCATAGAGTGTGTGACTTGATATAGAAATGGACTCTGAGCAAAGCGGAAGGGACCCCCTCCATTATGGCCTCAACTTTTAGAGTTTTAGCTTGGAAGCTTGTTTCAGAGAAAACCAGTGGCATTATCAGGTCTCATGCAAGAATTTGCGAGAGAGAAAAAGTACTTAAATTGTAAATCCCTGATCCTTACATGAGCTTCATTCAGTCATCATACAAATCAGTATAAATAATGCATAAATAATGTTACATAGATTTTGTTTAAACCTTCATAGAGTTTTGTCCAAGAGAGTAGGACTGGTAAATATTAGAAAAAGACAAATACAGCAATGAAAGTTCTAAGGATACTTTACACACGTACAGTAGATACAAATGGAGAATAATTTTAAAAATGCACTCAGTACAAAAACAATTAATTAGGGATTATTTCATTTATAGTTTGAAAATGATTAGATATGTACATATAATTAAATAATCTGAAACAGAGAAATAATCATGAACTCATGACCTTTGCAAAAACAAATGGCAGTATAGATCACAAGCTGAAAATGCGGGAGCTACTCTTGGCATATCCCACATTGTATGAATTCAGAAATATTTGACACATCTTTTTTATAATTCAATTTTTTTATACATATAAAATTGGTAGTGAATTTAGTTACCAGGTTTGTGCATTTAAAATTGGTATAAGGTAACGCATTGAAGTTGAAGTACAAGAATTAACTATTCATAATCTGAATGTTACAAATATGCATGAGAGACATTATCTGGAAGCCAGGTATCTGATACAAATACGTATTTTGGTTTCTGGGGTAATTGGTCCAGAGAGTGACTGCAGAATTTTGGCAAAAAAGAGTGTCCGCGATACATAAGATATTTCAAGCAGAAATAAAATTTCCTCAATGACCCCTTTTAAAATGTTTATTTTATTATAGCCAAGCTGTCAATTTGTGGGGAGACTTGACAACACTCCAAGAGGTGAATAAGGTTGTTTCTGTCTGGATACTAACTCTTGAAAAACAGGTTCGTTGTGGATTTGTTCCTATTTATTATACCTCTAAGAGAGTTTAATAAGAAACCTGCTTGCAGACCTGAGATAAAACGTTTACCTTGAAGTAACTTACGGACATGGGTGTAGCTAGGAAGGTCCCAGGAAACGAAGAATGGGGGAAAACACAGCTGGATTAAAGGAAATGCAAAATGTACGGCTGCAAGAGGCAAATTTTTAGTTGCATTCTTCTTCCTCTCTCAAGAATTAGAATGCAAAATTATGAGAAGGTTAATTAACTGTTATGAGAAAATGGAAGAATAAGTAGGCAATTGCATGATCATAATGAAATAAAAAACCAAAACGCACTAGTTAAGAATGTGTATGTTGTCTGCAAGATTGAAGCTTCTGATCTACAAATGATATCCCAAAATGGCCAGGTTTAGTGCTGTTATTCATGAACTAGGCAACCTATCTAGCTGATTGTGGTTTCATTTGAGAGGAGATGTAATAAGCAAGTGATTGAAATCAAGATAAACTTTTTTGAACAAAAATCGGTCAAGTTATGGTAGTTTCAACATTGTATGAATGGCAATCGCCTAGGTTTTTTTTTTTTTTTTGACTGTTTACTCTCAGCAACATTTGCCGATTTAACTTTTCTGATGCCGTTTGGCCAACAAATACTATCTGGTTTTCATAATTTGGCAATGCTGTTTGGTCATTATATGGCTCAAGGCGTAACTATACACTCATAATCAAGAGAGAAACAATGTAATAAGAGGTAATGATGCAAAAATCTGTAAATACAATGTGTGTGTGTGTGTGTGTGCGTGTGATGTGTAAATTGAATGCACTTCGACTGCAAATGAATGGGCTTTGTAGGAACATCCTGTGAATTTTTTTGTCAGGCGAATTGTTTTTTTGGTGCAGACATGTCAAATGCACAACATGTGCAGCTTTTCATTGTGGCTGGTGCCTCTTTCATATTCGTTTCTTTAAACTCTTGTTCTTTCATTAGTACTTTTTCTTCACCTATATTCAAAAAAATTGTGCAAAAGCAGTCAGAGAAGTAATCAGAAGCGCACTAGACCCACTCCTCTCCCGCCCCTTCAAAAAAAAAAAAAAAAAAAAACAACCCTACCCCACAGAAAATTTTCTAGGTGTTCTCAAGTAGAAAAGCTCTCTCGCCTCTGAAGAATTCATTCTTACCATTCCGGTAAGAATGAATTCTTCAAAAAAGCTGTAAGCTGTTGTCCTTTGCTCCATGTTCCAACTACATACCATTATTTGACTAGATCTCAGTCTAAGAAACTGATCTTGATTTCTATAAACTGCTTTTGCGTAATCTATGAAATGAGACGAAAACCAGCTACATTGGTTGCTGAGATGTTGATTTGGAGTACCAGTCCCAAAAATTTTGAGTCGCAGTAACTTGTATTCTCTTTAGGCAAGAGGACTAAATGTCCATGATAGTTTTCAGATGTTTACTCCGGCAATTTACCTTCTTCTTTTTATCATTCTCCAAGTGCTACAATTCATTAAAATTATTTTAATTTGTATGTCTTCAAGTTGATTTGCAGTGTTCCACTTTATTCCTACAATATTTCAACTAATGGGTCTGTTTTATCAGGGTTGCCATAAACTGATGAGTGCTGGGGCTAATGGAGCTGTTCAAGCCATGGTGCTCAGTTATGGAAGTTTTCGATTCAGCAACCAGCACTTAGAATTCAACATTCATCCTCAGTTCTTGGACAGAGATTTCCTTTTTAGGCGTCTGAGTTACGGTAATTTAACTCATGTGAACGTCTCTGTTGCTATCAAAGAAGATAACAAAGCTGTTCTTTACGTTGCCTTAGATCGCAGTGATAGAGATTACTATGCTTGTGACGGTGGTTGTTTGGATGATCCTGTCCTGCTCAGGTAATTTTTTTAGCGTTTGGTAATCTTCTCTGTCTTTGCTTTCAAGAATCTGTCCTGCAGGCCCAATATTGAAACTGATAGACAAAGCTATAGACAAAGACGACAAAAGGGATTTGGAGGGATCCTATTGGTGGAAACGTGGAAGCAGGTGGTGGCAATGGACGTAGGAGGTAGGAAATGGACTAACTAACGGCAACCCACCAAAGACCCGGCAATTAGTCCATCATTTTCTTCCTTAGTCTATAAGAATCAACCATGTCAACCAATAGGCTCGCTGTATACTCCCTATGTCTTCTTCGTCTATCGCTTTGCCTATCAGTTTCAATAATCGGCCGGCTGTGCATTTTAATTGAAATGAGCAGGAGCTCATAGATGATTCTAAATGAAGCTTGGTATGAATCTCGCCTCTTGTACGGCCATGGTAAGGAAGAACGCCGTAAGAGCCTTCAGACATTGCAACATTTCCTTCAGTAAAACTCAAACTTTCTGAAAAGCTTGTAATTAAACTTTGCACTGAATTTTATTTGCAATTTTATCGAAAGTATGTACAAATTTCAAGGAATAATATTCATAACTTTTTTCAAGAATAAATATTTTATCGGGGTAAATTTGGCAACGTTAGTATGCTCTTATGGCTTTCTTTCCAGTGCATCAGTGTTTTCATTTAATCAAATTTTTGAAACACACTCAGTGAATATTTACGGAAAATGAGGGAAAAATGAATGGTAACTTCTGAATTCTAATGCCTGTTGATTTTTCTGTTAATGTTCCCATTCATTAAATTAATTTTGTCTGGTTTTCAGCTCAGAAAAGGTGCAGTTTCCAGTCAAGCTAACCAAGCCTGTCACAGCAATTTTATACATTACTTACGATAAGAAGCACATGGAAGAATTGAGGCACACAATTCATGTAAAAGAAGTCGTTGAAGGTAATTCTCACATCATAGTTTTTGTTTTAATTCCTCCTCTAAAACGGTTGTGAGAACTTTTAACTCTTAATCAGTTTTATTTCCATGAAAATTATTGCAATTGCTCCATCTGTAAACCAAACCCTGTCTCCCAAAGATGTAAAAAATAGTCTGTGTGGATCAGGTATTTAACAATATAGTGCTACACGCATGTAGATACCTATGGTATTTTGAACCTTTCTAAGCAATATTTTTTTGAAAATATTGGTTGCAATATCTTGGTTCACTGTGATTCTTAACAGGATCCAAGAAAACATACTCCCAGTCAGTGGGGTTTAAGAAATTATTATGAGAACATATAAGCGCTTTGCTAGTTCATAAATGTGTTCTGAGGGTTCCATATCAATGGTAAAGGAACAGTACCGCCCTACTGACAATTTTGGTAAAAATGAGTTAGGAACTTTGCTGTATTCTACAACATAAAATACGCAAGCTGATGTTTTTAGTTTTTACCAGTTCTGCATGAGAGTGCTGTAATGGTGCTGTAATGTATGTAAACATTGCAAATCTACTCTCAAAATAATAAAAATGGCGTAGTTTTCTCTTCGTCCTATAAAATCGTCAGTTCCAAGATTGGCGTTATTGTTTCATATCCATCGATATGAATTAATACCTGTTTAAAGTTTTGCCAAACTGTGATTCTTGATATTTATTTTAAAAGTAAGAAAACTCAGCAACCATGGAGATTGTTAGGATTAAGCAGTCATGTCCCTGGGGGCAGATGGGTCCAATTAATCGCTTAAAGGATAAATCGGGTTATCCAGAACAATTATTTTTGTTACTATTGATTTAGTAATTTTTCACCAACTTCATTGGTCCTTTTTTGGAGAAAAGTGGAGGAGTGTAATGGAAGGTTCAAGTGACAATCTCCATCCTCAACTCTCAATTTGCATGATTATTGGGGTGTACACTCACTCTTCTATTCTAAATGACTATATCTCAAGAGAAGATAGTATGTAAGTGAAGAGCTGCATAGCCTTTTCTAGGTATAATGGTCTTGCTGTCTTCTTTTCATCAATTTTTTTTTTTTTTTTAGACCTTAGCTAACCGTCCGCACCTCCTCATTCAGGAATCAGCGGTTCTTTATTAAGATGGAACCCCGAGCTAGCGGGCTTTTTAGGGGTCTATGATTATGTGGCCGAAGCTGAAATGGCCGAAGCCAGGTAGTGGGGTGGGGAGAATGTAAGAGATACTCCGGGTGATTGCCCTTCGCACATACCTACTATTGGTATGCATCCCGGACACGGAAACCGCATGTGGGTGGAATTACTCCTACAACCGGGAGTTATCTCCTACAGCTGCTTTGAGTTACCCGGGGAGGCCCCCCCTCGTGCAAGCATCCAGGGGGACGGAAACCGTATGGTGGCGGGAGGAATTACACCTACCTCCCCGAGTGAACTCAAGCACAAATCCCCCCGTCCGGGAGAAATGGCAATTGAGGGACCCAATGACCATATTATATTATTATATGGGACCTGAAGGTCATAAGGGATAATGGTCACCAGCGCGCGGTACATGCTAGAAGGGGGCTTGCTAGGCCTCCCAGTTATTAGTAATTGCGCTATTTTAAGGTCTAGGAGGAAGTTTCATAAAACTACCATCTGGTCAGAAAATGGTACCGCCTTGCAACCTCCGGGAGATTTTCATCAATAGGTACATAAATAAATGAGGTTTTAATTGAAATTTGTATGGAAATGTTTCAGCCCCTGCTCACGAGCATCATGTCATTGCACTACATAAACATGGTCATCATCTGGGCGGTCTTCCAACTTTCTTTTGGGTCTCAGTAGGGTTTCTCATTGTTGTATTTCATTTGTTTCTTTTTAAGCTTGCGTACAATGAATACTTTGGTATTCAGGACAAGTACAGTCGTTGGAGGTATGGAAAACTCTGAGAATTCTAAAAACCTTGTTGAAAATTTATCAGGATTTTTTTTAAAGTTTTTTCCATTTTGATATTTTTCCCCCTTTTCATTTTGATAAGGTTTTTTTTTTTTTAAAAAAAAATTTTGCTTTTATGTAAATACAATGTACAGTGTTATTGATCTGTTTTATATTAATCATTATGAAATAAAACTCCGCATAACTTAAGTATAATAAAAAGAACACGTGTAGAAATCAATAAAATTTAAAACGAAGTGAGAGAGAAATAAGCTCATGAATTACGATTAGCCAGTAAAGTAAAATCTCTTCTAGCCCAAAAGCTTACAACATGCAGTTCTTCATCATTCAGCTTTACTTCTGTGACTTTTTGAGAATTTTAAATGAAATGAGAAAGTAATTTGATGACATTGGCTTATCCACCAACTATCGATGGGAGTTTATTGTTACTCTTACATCCCTAGCAGCTGTTAAATGTTCAACTTTTAATTCGTATAAACCCTTTTACTGCTGATGTTTTACTACAGAGAGTTAAGTGACTTTGATGCAGTATTAAATATCATGGTTTTGTAGAAATGGTCCATCATATCCATGAAAAGTTATATCTTTAATTGTCCTATAAAAAATCATGAAGGTTTAAAGTGAAGATTTATGACAGTAACAGACTTATATAACAGACTAAGTGAGAAAACATTGAAAATTGAGTCAAACGGGGCATATCATTCCAAGCATCAAGAGAACATGCTGCATATCAAGCCAAGAGCTACCAACATTAGAGCAGTGCAAGTAATGTCAGATTGATAGTGTTAGTGGTATGTTGTGCAGCAGTTTTCAGAAATAAAATTTTGAACAACCTGAAATCATTTTTGGCACTAGTCCACTATTTGAAAAGTGGATAAGCAATGGTGGTCGTATCTCAAGTTGAGCCATTATTTTAGAGACTAGACGCACAAAGGCATATGTTTTACCCTGATATAAAAATGTGCAAAATTGAAATGAACGCTGTGCCTTGTGATGTCAAGAAGGTATGAAGTGTGGCCACCTATGCATATCCGCCTTGTGTTATTGATGATAAGTCTTCAAGTAATTTTTGACGCCTTTAATAACCTAAATATGTATTTAAATTCAGATCATTTTTACCACATTCAGGGTGGGGGGGAAGTGTCAAAAAATCTTAAATTCATAAGACTGTTTATTTATTATTACGCGTATTTATATTTGTAGAATAAGCCTTTTTTCCCTTTTCTGCATCATCAGTTTCCAAAGATTTTGGAAAAGAGGGTGGGTGCCAAATGAGTCAGCATAAAGTTTCATTGCATTTTATATAAAATTGAACTACATTCTTACATGGAGCGATCAAAAAGTGTGGGTACCTGTTAAAACCAGGATGGCAGCTGAGTATTAGTGCTAGGTCCTTATCACTCTGCAGCAAATTAGCAAATTCATTAGCAAATTATTCTTAGTATTCATAGCATTTCAACACTTTCTTCGCCTCCCTCTGTCTTGCACTGATACTCATTAGATTTCAACTTTTTTAATGTAATGACAATTTCTGGAATTTTTTTGCCCTGATTTCCCTGCAGAGTAGTGTGGACCCAGTACTACTCCACTAACCTGTTTCATACAGTTCGGACCACATTTTTTGTGTATATTCCGAAGGAATTTTTTTTTTCTTGCTTGTTAATATCATAAGAATGGTTGCAGGTATTTACATACGGTTTGAAAAAACTCCCTCAAAGAAAAGTGCGCAATTTTTTTGAGGGGAGCCATAACCCTCTCACAAAAGACCAACTTTCATTTGAGGGAATCTAGTCTAAACTGCATGTCAATATCTGCAACCGTTCTAGACATATTTAATAACAAGTATCCATGTTTTTTGCACACCCTGCAAACTTCATGCATTGTTGCCTTACTTCTGTTGTTGTCGGCAAACCCCATTTTAATTGTTATTATGTTAATATTCTAGCATATTTGTGAATATGTAAATATGTAATTAATATTCAGTGTGGAGTACAACCATCTTCAGTGATTCAATACTTGTTGTTTTCATCATGATTCTCTCTCGTTGGTTTCAACATTATTGCACTTGGTGGAGAAAAATTCTCAAGTTTTAAATTTTGAGCCAAAGCCCTTAAAGAACCATTCTACGCATCCGAAAGTCTAAAGAATAAAAGAAAATAGATAAATAAATTACCAAATTATTGAGGGTCCTTTTTAGCCTTGTTACTCGATTGCTTAAGCAGCTGATGTTGATACTGGTCATTACTTCTCCACAAGCCGTATGTAGTTTTTCAGGAGGGAAGAAGAACCATCTAACTTGCCCCCTAACTTTTCTCTCAAATGAATTTAGAGGGAAGTTGAGTCTTCTCTGAAAATAGTTTTGTCATCAGACAAAAATTATCTTTAGCTTTTCTTGTATATTAAGAAAATTCAGTCATAAGTTTAAAGTTTAGACTCTCTGGCTCAGAGAATATTTAAGTTTTTTTCCATGATCTTTATGCAAGCAACTGTGATAAAAAATTGATTCTTGAGGGAATTGAAAAACTAACATTTCTGCTTCTTTATTACTTAAAAAATGAATAGGACTTAGACTTAAGCCACTTTACTAATAATCATCTAAAATATTTCTACAGCATTATCATTGTTGTTAGTATTTAACGAGTCTACCTTGAGAAAACATCTACTATATAGGGCCAGCAGCCTGATTGTTACAACTTTATCAGGTTTTGTCGATAAGATGGAACAAGACATAGCCTGCTATCTTCTCCAGGGTACACGAGTTATTTACAGGAGTCAATCCTCAGATTTTACAGGTATGATGACTAATGAGGGATAAGCAAAAAGTCGGGCAAATGCTTTCGCAAAGGAGACCTAGTTTTATAAAATTGCTACACTAACTGATTTGACATTCATCTTCACTATTAAGCGAGTAAAATTCTCACGAGATATCACATCAGTGTTTTAATTCAAGAACAGACAAGTAGGTCCTCAAAAGGTTTGACTCAAGAGGTTTTAACTGTATAGAGAGGTGTTGGAACCAGGCCGAATCATGTTTCCAGTCCCTGAGAATGATTTATTTCTTTGAGGAGGAAAAAAATTATTGCTTTACCCGCATTGTAAACTTGGAAAGTGCTCAAAAAGTTTGGTGAATATTATCTTCTCCATTCTGCAGAGTATGTTCTTTATTGAAGGTTTGATATCTTGAGAAGTATGAGGTATCAGGAAGTATTTTTTTACTATCTTTCGAAAATGATTTTGCGTCCAGGTTTCAATTTAAGGGAATTCATGTTTTGAATAGAGAGTGAGTCCCCCAACATTAAAATTCCACCCTCAGTTAAGTAGTTTAGTGATCGATCTACACGTTCCTCTTTGTATTTTTCTTTTTATTTTATTGAATATTTTTACTACCCATTTCAGCAATCTAGTGATAAATTTAAAGTTTATCTTGCTTTTCTGCAGTCCAAGGAGCCCTCTCTTCCCCCCCCCCCAAAAAAAAAAAACCCAAAAAATTGCTTGTACCTACAATTTTATTTTTCTTATTCCTTCAAAACGAACTTATGCAATTGGAATACTTATTTTTGTTTTAGCTATTACTGCTTGTAAGTTTCTTTGCTTCACAATAAGAGTTCCTAATCTCATGGTTGAAATCAAACCATGCTATACTTCTATACTGTATACAATGGAGGCATTAGATGTAGAGAGCCCTTCTTGGTTGCGGTGTATCTGAATTTCCACTGCCAATTTATACTTTGGAGAGAACGCTAGGTATAGGGTGAATTTTCCGAAATGTTTCGTTCAGAGCATTTTAAATTTATGAAGAGTATTCAGTAAACATTCCAATGGAACACATCGACGTCGTAAATCGGCAATCGCATAACTCGTTTGCGGTGTCTGAAAATCTCTGCTTTTGTGTTATTTTTTTAAATGAGAACAAATTGACATCATTCCTCAAAGTTTATGCAGAATTTTCTTCGCACAGAGAAGAAAAATCACGGCAGTTTTAAAGAATTGCCGTCGAGTAGTTTTCTGTTCAGAAAGTAAAGTATGATAGGAAGTCTGCGACATCACAAACCGAGTTATGTGATTGCCGATTTACAACGTCGATATATTTGCTTTGATTATAGTGAATGAAATGTTGACGGAGATTCTGAGACAATGGAACCAAGAAGTGCCCACTCTGCACCCACCGTTTCAATTGTTGTAGATGATGACATGTAGTGAAGTTTTAGCTTTAAGTTTACCTGAAACGAGGTACTTAGATTAACTGTCAGGAAGTTAATAAATTACTCTGGGTTACACCAGTACTTTTTTTTTTGCTCCTCAGCATTTTTTCTTCTGAATTGAAGACTCATTGAGTAAAAGCCAGATTTGCACGTACGCGCAGAAGAAACTCTATTGGCCAAATGAAGAATAAAAAATAAAAAAAAAATAAAATTATCATAAAAAGAATTATTATGGAATAAATGAGTGAATTTTATTAATGATGAAATAATGATTGTATTTATTGGTCATTTCCTGAATCTTCGTACCACATAAAATTCAAAAATGGAAACCACGCTAAAAAAAGGACCCAAATCAAAATTCAAATCAAGATTTTGAAATCGAACTGGTCGTAAACCGGCCTTCTGCATCGAACCTTTCGATGGTCCTCCCGGTTTTGCTTGTGTATTTTTTCACTCTAAGCATGTCATGCCAAGGAGTCTTTCTGGTGAGTTTCATGATTTTTTTTAGTTAATAGGAGCTCATCATACATATAATAATTTCATAGGACCGAATGATTTAAGAGGGAATCTAGGGAAGAAGGTTTTAAGGGTAAGGGAGTGAGTAGGTGTAAAGGGCCACATAGGACAGTGTGCTGCTCCTTCTCATTTTTCTGGAAAGAATATTCCGTTGGCGACAGAACAACGTCATGAGAATACGAAATTTTATTAATATCAGGAGTTCAACAACACCAACAAATTTCTGAAATGGTGAAGCAATTTCTTTTTCCAAGGCAAAAAGGCAATTTTCAGATGAAAAAGTATTCTGAGTTCTTTGATAGCCTACATTTAGCTGTGCAACTTTTAATGCATACAATTAGTATCAATAAAGGATGAGAATGAGTTATGTATTCCCTGTCGTTTCAAGATCATTACTGTTTACAATTTGACTAGAGAATATTTTCAAAACGGCGACCGACTGGAGCAAAAAGACGCAGTGCAAAAATCGTGTATTATATTTTAAATCAGTAAAAGTATAAGTTCAATGAAGTAATCAGAAACTGTTGCTACAAAATGGCTGTAAAATCAAAATACGTGGTCTTTAGCCCTATCCAATTTTGGAAATGGTTGCAAGAAAAACGTTCATTAAAAAAAATTCCACAATCGCCAGAATCATTTTTAAGACTGGACAACCATCACAAATTAAGCTCAAGAGTTGAGAGCTGTGTCTGGGATTTTTTTGCTGAAAGGAGGTGGTTCAGTCAAAGAAAAATGACTTTTTACGGAAAAGGCTGCCCTTACTCCCACTCCCTTACCATTAAATATCAAAGGTATCTTTAAAAACAAGAACTTTGTCACTGACATGAAGCATGCAAGGCAAATACTGAAGAATATAGAGTACACTGACTGTCATTTTTCGTACTGCAGATGATGAGAAATTCCCCTCTGTTGGCAATTTCTGACAATTTTTTAAGGGTTTCAGAAGTCAAATGGCAAAAAATGAAAGTCACTCTTTGATGAACTGTCCTGAATCGTTCTTTGCCGCAAACTGCATCAAAATCGAAAGCAGTCACTTCTGAGCCCCCCTCCTTTTCAGTCGAGGTGATCGAATAAAATAATTGACAGGTAGGCAACATGGTAAATAAAAATTACAGGCTGTATATTTTTATTTCCTGAAATTCACAAATAGGTAACAATATTATTGATACACCCAACAATCATTCATAAATTAAGGGCTATACAAAAATAAAATTGAGAGAAAGAAAATAAAAACTGTTTTGTTTGTTACAAATCACAAGGAAGAAAAAAATAAATGTCTAAAAGTTCAGAAAAAAAGTATTGGGCAATCTAAAGTTTACTTAAGTAATGCCTACAGGATTTTATGTGGACTATTATACACCAATATTTATGTTCTGTTTAATTTGTAACATACTATTAGACATTTTTCTTTGAGACATCTGTAACGAGTAGTTAAATATTAAATAAGCATAACAAAAAATACAAGATTACCAAGAATTCAGGTCCCATGCGTTTGTTGACATTTAGGATTCTCTAGCTAAAAAGACCGAGGATGGATTAACTATGATTTGAAACCCTTGGGTATTTCAAAACTTACTATTTCTTGTGAATAATTTCCAAGAATAACAGTACCTAGTTGTAAAGATAATTTTTGAGATACAAAAACTCCATTTTCCATTGACGGAGAGAGGATACTGAGTTTCTTCAAGCTGCTCAAGATTCTTTTTCGTACTTCTTCATCTTGAATGAAACTGTTGACAGAGCAACCTGTTAACATAGAGAAAAAATGATTGGGGTATAGTTATTGTCTCTCATTATTATTTTTCTGGCGGAGCTAGGATTTTTTGAAGTCGTTAGAGATAGAAAACCCTGCAAGATCATTGAGGGAACAGTAGGTCGAGGTAAATTTTGATGAAATTTTAAAACGTTAACACCAAGTTCATCATAGGCCTGAGACCAAAAAACATTGGTGATTCGTTCCGGTTAAAGCCAAGATATTAGCAATTAAAAAAACATTATTTTTTGATCAGATCAGAGATCCCTCCGATCTACCTTTCCTATGGACAAAGCATGTGTCTTCCTTTTGTGTATTTACAACAATTTGTTGCTTTCTTTCAAGCGGGCAGTATGATGAGGTATGTAAGGGTGAGCAGGAGCAAGGCAGAATTAGCAACAATGGTGGTGTAGAATTAAAGAAAACAAGCAATCAGTGCCTTTCTTTTCAAGATCAGGATTCCAACAAGGTTGTGCCAGTCAAAACGGTCAAATCTGAAATTAGATATGAAATAAATCTGGCAGAACGTCATTCCCAGCAGATGAGGTCTCAGTTCTAGAGCTTTATATACGTAAGTTTTGAATCAAATTAGTTTCCACGAAAAAATTATCTCTCTGCGTTGAAAGCAGGATTGAACTTGTCTCATTCACTACCAAATATATCCAAAAGGACATTATATTAAAGAATTGCTGGCAGCCAGCATGCACCTGCTCTGGAGAGAGTACCGTAGAGTGGCAGCGAGAGAGTGCATAAAGGACAAATCGACGGTGTAAGTCGGCAATCACATAACTCGGAAAACGCAATTTTTTCAGGAGAGAGAAAAAACTCTCTACATTCCTCATCTTTGAAGGTAGAGGAGAAATAATTCTTAGAGACAGCAAGGATAAGATGCTTTATAAGACTCTATCATCATTTTGAATAATATTCTCCTCTGTCGGGAGAAATGACCGAAAGACCGAGTTGTGTTTGTGAAACTAAGGTCCAGCATTGAATTCTGAGATACGTGGTTGGCGAATTACTGATTCAAACTATTCTTTGCGGATGTTGACTGAATAAAGACTAAATAAGACTCCCCTCACTTTAAAAGTAGCCTAAAGTTCCTTTTTACAAACTTTAATTGGTAGCGAATCTTAAGAATGACACCAGAAAACAATTCGACGGCTTAAGTCGGCAATCACATAACTCGGTTTATGACGTCGCAGACTTCCTGTCGTACTTTATTTTTTAAACGGAAAACTACTCAACGGCAGTTCTTTATAACTGCCGTGATTTGTCTTCTCTCTGCAAAGAAAATTCTGTATAAACTTCAAGGAATGATGTCAATTGGTTCTCTTTTAAAAAAAATAACATAGAAGCGGAGATTTTCAGACATCGTGAACGAGATAATAATGGCGGACTTACGCCATCGAATTACAAATTAAAATGAAATGAAGATAAAAATAAGCGGACGATTATTCAGTTATCCTTCGGAGTTGATGTTAGATGTTAAAACAATAACAATGTTTTGGTTGTTTGAAGATTCCAGGATGTACTAACTTTTAATTTCCCCTCCTGAACTGTTCACGATTCTTCCCGGGAGAGCGCGCGTTGTGTAACAATGCGGCGCGACGGCACGAGTTATGTGTAATTGGAATTAACGCCGAGATACGTGTTTTGAGTTCTACGGTTTTGGGTGACTTCCAGATTTTTTTCGACTGAAATATTTTGATAGCAGGTAAAGGGCATCTACTACACTTTATTTCTGCAGCTAACTCAAAATCGACAAAAATCGAGTTATAAGATTGTCGACTGACACCGTCGAAATATAGCATACCACATTCAAGGGCATAGGGGAGCAAGCAGTGATCATCGCTTCGACTTAGTGCATGCCGCACTGCCCTCGCATCTTGAATTCCTCTGTAAGTTGCGACTCTCCGTTCATCCCACAGCAAGTGATTTTCCAAAGCAGAAATTGACTGGCGACCTGACCGTGTACTGCGCTATGTTGCCTCTATTTGCCTGGTTTTGTTCTATACGCTTTTATATTTCTCCTCTTCTATTATTTCTAAAATTTACCTCTTTAAAATCTTTCATCAATTACGATCAGCAAAAATTCAACAAATTTGATGGGTATAATTTTCTTCTTCCTTCTGAAATCTTAGGACAGGCAGAGCTTGCTTTGCTTACCTAGACCACACGCTCCTGCCAATACTTCCTAATCATAAAAATTTTTATAAAGATCGTTTACTTGTTGGTATAATAGAAAAAATGCAATACATTTTCAAGGAAAATTATTCACAACACTTAGCTACCTGCGGGTGGAGAGTATCAAAAACATTACAAACACATACCTCCTAAAAATTCTTCAGCTCTTGGCGATCGAAGAACAACTTCTTTGTGCTCAAGTGAGTTCAAGTGCAAAAGATGAAATATCATCAAAAATAATGGTTTTTGAAGTTTAGACTTTTTACCTGTAAAATAAAAATTGAAGTGAACTTTATGACATTGAAAAAAAATGTTTTTGGATTTCATCAGAAAGATTCTTGAAGAACAAAATCTCAGGGTGTCGATTTGCCCTTTCTTTTGTGTCAAAGGGCATATGTGATGTCATCAGCACCATCAACCATGACATTCTTTATTAACTTGGTGAATCAGGAACAGTATCAGTTGCAGCGATGACATATTGGTAATGCATAAGATGCATTAATGTATCACATCAAAAATATTATCATTGATACTAGTGACAGTAACATTGACATTAATGCTCTTCAGGAGAGAGACCAGCTTGAAATGCCCTGAATAATGATGTGATACGTAAAATGTTCTGATTGAATTGATGCAGTGCAATCTGGTGTGATATGGGGTGAGGTGGTCTAAGAAATCACTAAATCAGGTATACGGTTACACCTACATGAGGAGACATGGACACTCCTATATATTTTATTGCTCTTTTATGCAAGGGGGGGGGGCCACACTTCGGTAATCGCAGGAGGCTTCGGTGCACTATGAGTGTCGCAGGACCAAGGGAAATTGATAGCGATGAAATGCTAGATCCAAACTGACTTAATGAGCTGTCTTGCCAGTTGGATGGTCTCTCTTCTCGGTGCTTTGCCCCAGCTTATACATTGACTGGAAAGGGATCTCGAGGACGCTGCTTGAGCAATGTAAACATCGCTTAGTCGACGACACCCTAGCAATCCGACGTCATTGGCTAATATATACAGCTGGTGCAAATACCTTGAACTTTCCTCATGACAAATCGAAATGATGATATTTTTTATACAATTAATGCTGTGAGGCTCATATCAGGTGATGCATCCACAAGGGTTCATTTTAAGAAAAATTTCCAAGAGAATAAATTTGAAACCCTTTCATTACTACAAACGCAGCTTCTTTGCATTCAGCGTAACCCCATCCTTCCTGTAAGGATTCTGCCATCACTCAATGACTGCCACTCAGAAGTATTCACATTTGTAGCTCTACCCGTCAAATAGGATCTAAACTACAACTTTAGAGACTTTCCAACAAAAAGCGCTCCAATTTGTAAGGGGTTTCCCTTGTGGAGCATGCACACACAGGATCTAGCCTGATAATGAAAGGGTGAAAACCTAATACATAGCATATTTATGAGTAGTAGCTGAATTTTAAAATGAGAAAGAGGACATTTTTACCATTCTTTTGACAATCAGGACACATGTAGTTGATAGGAAATGAAGTTATTGGAACATATCTTTGACAAGCTCTACAATGACAAGTAACAATAGCAGGATCACCATCTAGAAAGAGAAGAGGAAAACCAGTGAAACCACGGTAAATTTCGTTTTAGAATTAATTGTTTGAACTTTTGAATGAGCCTGTTGCAAACTTTTGATAAAGCAAAAATAAAAGTTGCTTCTATTAGTAAATGTCTCAAAAATTACGATGGGCGCACTGGCAAAGTTTGAAATGCACTCCTAACTTCACAATTTGCCTAAGTTTGCGTTTTTTTGAGCTTCTCGCTTTAAAAACCATACTACAGCACAGGTGAACATTTCGTCAGAGGAGCCGTTCCATTCAACCCCTGTTCACTAGTATTCTACAAAATATTCAACATGGCCAACACAATTCCGCCGAAAAGTATGTGCCTGCACGAGATTCTAACCATTTGTTAACAACCCAGCTTGTTTACATCCACGATTTCTTTGCGTTGATAAAGATCAGCTTTGGTTGACCTTGTGCTCCCGATTGCGATTTGCGCGTGGAAGCGTTGGCTATGTTGGGTATTGCTGTCGCGAAAGGGTTGTATGGAACTACTCCTCTAACGAAATGTTCACCTGTGCTGTAGTATCGTTTCTGAAGCGAGAAGCTAAAAAAAACGCAAATTTCTGACACAGATTGTGAAGTTAGGAGTGCATTTCAAACTTTGTCAATGCGCCCATTGTGATTATTGAGACATTCATTGATAGAAACAACTCTTATTTTTGCTCTAACAAAAGTTTGCAACAGGCCCATTGCATAACTGCGGATGAGGCGAAATAGCATTTTAGAACATGAGCTCTATTTTAAATATTTTTTTAGTGAGGAAGAGGAATTTTTAATGATTCAAATACCTCTTCCATATAGGAGAAAGTAGTTTACGATACATGCAAAGGGGTCCCCGCCATATACAGCTGATCAAGTTACACGTGAGCAACTTAGAGGGGGGAGGGGGTCTGAGCTTGTCTCACCGTCTTTTATGAGGGGGGTCAAACTCAGTCTTACATATCTATTGGTACCCTGCCATTCAAATTCCTTGCTTTTTCCTTACTGTCTCGAAAATTCCTCATTATGACGATTCTCAAAAATCTTTGCTTTTTGTTTGCCTTTTCCTTACCTTACACACATTTTTAACTGTATCCAGATTGGCAGAGAGGAATAATATAATACATGAATGATAAATGGCAACGGAATGAACCGAAAAACACAAGGAATCGGACCAGGAACTTAATTAGGGTGTCAACTAAAACAGGCTGGCAAAAAATCAGTGCTTTTGCAGTACTTTTTCAGTACATTCCAAAGAAATTCAGAGCCTTCCTAACAAAAAAATTTAATACTTTTTCAGTACCTCCAATTGACGAAATTCGAGGCATTTCAAAGATTTGAATTCCTCTCTTAAAATGCGACAAAAATGAAGAAAATTCCAGACCTTCTTGCAGAATATCCGCACTTTCTCAGTGCTTCCGGACCGCCCTTAAAAAATCAGTATTATTTACGGACTTTCCGGAAATTCCGGACTTGTAGACATCCTGTTAATGAATGGATTATGTTAAGAATTCGCATACCGCCGAGGCTACCTTTCAGAGTTTATCATGAAAATCTCAAATTTCCAAGCCTTTTCACAGAAAATCCGTATCTTATACGTACTTCTATTCCAACCTTCCGAAATCCCTGCTTTTACAGTGTATCTGTACTCTTTCTGTACAGTAGACACCCTGCAGATTATATATTCTAATAAAAAAAATTTTTCCAGCTATTTCTTAGGCTTTATCTATTTTTTCATGAAAAATTGGAGGAGGGGGGGAGGTAAGACCACTCTTACATACTTCAGAAAGGGAGTGAGAGGTGGTTTAATGGGGAATTTACATGGTGGAGGGGGGGGGGAAGTCAAAAAGTCCATTGGCCATAATTTCTTGCATAATACTTGAATGGCCCCCAAAATACAGACTTCCGACCCTGACTTGCACTATCCTGGTAGCAGACTCATATACATGAACAAACCTAAGCAACCCCTAACCTACGCAACTGAAACTCAAGGACTTTCAAGAAATCCGTGCCTAGTTACGTTACATTCATAGCTTTCCAAAAATTGAGGCAAAATATACTAATTATATACAATTGATAGTAATGGAACGATTCATTGGTAGGGTATTAATTAGTATATCTTTAACATTAGAAAAAAAATGGCAGATTCTAGCATCAGAAATTATCAATTTAAGGCACACGGAGATATTAACTTGCATTGTAGGTCTTTCCAAAAGAAATCTGATTTTCTAAAAAAAAAAAAAAAAAAAATAGCGGATCATAAACGTCAGAACTAAAGATAGTGCTGGATTGAAGCTGCAGATAAGAGGATCAAAATAAATCTAATACGTTCGTTACCAAAAAATCAGGATACTTGCGAAATCTGCTAATGCATCAGGAAGTCGGCTCGCAGTAATGGTCGGTGGTCTCAGTAAAAGCGGGGTTTTTTACGAAATTTATGACCAATTTCCAAAATCTTGGGCTTGTTTCATAGCTCAGAGTGTGCCTAATAAATACCTTTCTTTCGGTTTGATTTATCTTTTTTGGTTCAGAGGATATAGGGTGGACAAAATAACTTCTTAGATGACCCTTGTAATTGGAGAGAAAATATGCTTACTGTTTTCATCCGTGGGCTTGATTTTGATTAGAAGATAATAGTTGCCTCCATCATCATTAAGTCTCCTTCGAGCTGAGGGGAGGAAAAACAATGCAAAGAAATTAATCATGATTGAAATATTAAGATAAATTTAAAAACAATAATCATGTAACATCTTAGCTAATTCTGCTGATGACATGCCCAACGGCGATTTCCGGTAGCCATCCAAAAGTGTATAGACAGTCTACAGTTATTTAGTTATAACTTACCTCTTATAATTTTACTGTTTTCTTTTGTGCTATCTCTCATCTGATTTGATGTAATTTTATTCTGTATTTAAACCTTTTGATGGCAAATAAGCAAATACAAAAAAAACGAAACAATTATTATCTAATTATATCAGAACGGGGACTTCAAAAGGGCTACTAAAGGATCTTGGACAAGAATTCGCTATGGAGACCTCTATTACTGGACTAATTCTTCGACAAAACACTTTCCCCTTAGAGGATCATGGCAAGCTTGTTTTAGGGCTTAGCGCCACTGACTGGGGGGCCACCTTTAATAATTAATAATATTTTAAATAAGTTATACATAATTAATATTTTTAATCAATGATGCATGAGAAATATTGTTAAATAATGACACATAAATGATATTTTATTGCACAGCAGCGCATCGAGGTTGCGCCGGTCAAAACACCAGTCACTAATAGGGTTCTAGTCATTAACTGTTTTGGTCCAGCGCAACCAGCAAAAAATCAGTCACTATAGCCAGCTTAATGTGTGGACATAATAGAGCCAATGAGAGGTGACTGACTCAAGGAACGCAACGGAAGATGCATTATAACGTGTATGCTCTTATAGACCTGGAGAAGTCACCTTCAAAAAGTGCTTCTCATTCCTATTAGGTGACACACTGAATTTTATGGAGGGTAGAGAAAAGCATGGAGTGAAAGAAATTACTAAAATTTCCACAAGTCTTCATTCTGGATGACAAAGAGACCCTTATCAGCATGACTTTATGAAACCTTGCGTTTTTCATTCAACTACCCTCAGGCCGATTTGTTTGGCATTGATACACAAAATCCTCTGTCAATCGATAACTAACATAGGCCCTGCACCACATGTTAGTTTTTGATGTAAACATAACTTCAAAACTGAGTTTTCAATTGCGTTTGTACCAAAATCTGCTGCTGTCAGAGCGCTGAAAGCCAATCACAGGTCTTGATGCTAATTGGTTGATTACTCTTTGCCATATCCGCAACACGGCACAGTTTACTTACAATTAGTCAATAAATTGGACAAAACGATCTCTATAACTTCAACTTTTTGATAGATAAACTTTTTTTCACAAACTTAATGATGTCTTTATTGATGTGGAAACAATCGGGCTGCTAATGTGCCATCTGTTAGGTTAGGTTATTAATGTAAGAGTTAAAAAAGTAGAAAAATAAGGCTTACTTGTATTGTGATTTGAAGACAGCCTATCCTCCTAAAACAACAATAACAGCAATATTACAATATTTTTATGCCCAAAGAGGAGAATAAACAATTTAAGCTTTTCTAGATAAGAGAGTAAACTTGTGTAAGAGCAGTAGGGCAAAAAAGACAGAAAAAATCATAAAAATATTATCACTTTTTGAGCCAGAAAACTAAACTTGTTTCTTTTCCCATAGAAGGTGGATGAATCCACCTCAAAGTGGAAGTTTTCATGCACTTGCAACTGGTACCTATGCGGGACAAAGAGTCCAGGTATGGCGGAATGACACAACCCTTGGTGCTGTGGTTTGAAGCACAATATTTTTAGGATTAATTCTTAATACCTTGATTTTAATTTTCTAAGAATATTTGAAAAATAAGTTGAACAATCGATCTAAGATTTTAATCTGAGTAAAAAATCACCATAAGTATGAAAATAAACCATAGATGAACCCAAATTTTTGGACAAAGATATTCAAAGTTGTTTACTGGACTGAGATTTGTATTATTTAATGTTTACCTGGGGCTCATCTCTATAGTATAATCAATCCTTAACAGTCACAAAAACTTGATTTAATGAACAAGTTCTTTTTTAAAATTAATTTTTAGACTCAGATGCTAGATGGGATGGCGATGTCTTTTATTTGACATAAATACAGCAGATTCTATGGTCATAAGCTCTTTAGAAATACAAAGAGTGAATACAGTTATGAGAAAAGAAAACTTACAGCTTTTTCTCCTTTCCTAGGAGTGCTGGTAACTGGTCTGGGAGGTGATTTTTTCGTTTTAGTTTCAATAATTACAGTAGCCAGGTCATCATCATCATCATCATCATCTTCTTTTTCTTCTTCAATTTCTGTTGTGGAAGAGTTTTCTGCATCAGAAAGCTCAAAGGGATCCAATGAATCTCGACTGACATCATTGGAATGTTCAAATTTTCTTATCTTCACATGTCTACTAGGAGATGAATTCATGGAGTCGCTACCATTTTGTTTCACTTCAGCTATCCTAGTAGGTGCTGATCGAAGGGAACGTTTTGGAGAGCCACACTTGGTTGAATTAATTTTGACTGGTGTCACTGTTTTTTCTGTCGGGCTTACTGAATTGCTTTTGATCTGAATGATAAGAAAGACAAGGGAAAAAATGTGTTGGTGAGTGACTTCAAACATGAAACAAATGTAAAACTTGACGGTCTAAAGAGTGAAGAACTTCATACTTTTACATGCAATATGATACATCACAGGCAGAGAATTCTTTTCATCAGAGAGCTTAACGGAGCTTCCACATTCGATATGCATATGAGGTTCTCTAAAGCTTTCGGATAAGAAATACCTCTATATTTTGCCCATTTATTCATACCCAGTATGCATACCCATTGTTAGTATGCATACTCCCAGTAGTATGCATACCCATTATGCATTAGCATTGGCATTACTGAACTTTTTAAAATTTTTCAACTTTAGATAAAATTGTGTAGGTGTGTGAGACAAAACATGTTTCTATTTTTTCTGTTATACTAACTGCAAGGTTATTCCTCGGCTTGTTGGGAGAAAAAGAAAAAACTGATCGATCACAGGCTTTAACAAAGAATGGATGCAAACTGGCTAACAAAGGAGTTCCATTTGGATCTACGATCAAAAATTCACGAGTATACCAAGGCATAAATTATGTGTGACAAAGCCATTCTATACTTTCCCTCATAGAGAAACCATGTTGATGCCATAAAAGCTTGATTTATGGTAGGGGAGGAATATGGAAAAAAGGGGAGTTCCATGGAGCAAATTGCCTAGTGAACTTCACCTATGTGAACATAATCATCAGGTCGTCCTAAATGCTACATACAAAGGTTTACCACAGTTCGATCCCAGAACCTCCTTAGAATGCCTATAATTCAGAATATCGGCCATGATATGGCTGAATAGTACTTCAGCTTATTAAAAATTATATGGAGTCATAGCGTCATGTGGGGTGTCATTTCTTGGAAATTTTGGTCGTAGATTTCAATTAAGCGGTCAAAAAAGTTCCTTGGTCGAACAAGGTGCCCCAAATCCGAGATTACAACCAAATTTGAAGAGCATGAGGGTATATTTGTTAGATATTCACTGATAAGTCGAGTAAGGTACCGCTTACTGCGTGATTTCGGTCAATAATTTAAAAATTGAAGTAGCGAACACCCCCTGATTTTATGAGGTACGAGTTGCCCAAATTAAAAATGGCCGGTCTTTGAAGGACTGGAGGGTACATGTCTACATATGTTCTTGCAATACATCAAGTATAATATACCGATTTCAACAGTCAACAACAGTTGTTTTCGATCAAACAGTCTGATAGGGTGTTGAAAACTTATTCACTCCATGACTTGAAAACGAAGATGGTGATCATCATGTGCTGTGAAGTGTGTGAAAGGATACAAGCCGAGCAACTAATGAGAGAAAAATCGTTTTTGGAGAAGATTTATCACATCAGTGCGGTAGCTACTATATAACTCTGTAATAAGAAATCATGAGAGTAACACATAACACCTGAGGCGCAAAGCGTTTCCAGAGGAGGGAAGGGGGGGCTGGCCCGCGCTTAGTGCGCAAATATTTACTTCGGAGGGTTTTATAGGGTGTATTCATCTTCGAAAGTTACAGTGCAGGAAATGTCCTGACCCAAATATATATCTACCACTATCATAAAGCTCTCCAAAAGCTACTAGCGTGATAGAAATCCTTAATTCCTACACAAGGAGGAGGGACGGCAAAACAGGTCATAAAAAAGAAAGAGAAGATGTATCTGCAATTCTAGAAGCCCACAGTATGCATTCTTCTTCATCAGTACGTGCAGACAAGGTAAACAACACACAAACCTTGGTTAAAAATTTGTATACTCACAGAACAATCCAGTAAAGTTTCTTCACTTGACTTGACTGAATCAAATGAACGATCGAAACACCTATTAGATATAGCAGCTGCGGTAGTCGAGGCCCTCCTTGACAGGGACAGAACTTCATCCAAGGTGTTCACATCCGCTGTTTGTTTTTCGGCTTTTTGTTTATGATGTAAATGATAACATATGGAGGCAATAGCTTCTTTCATTCCTTTTTCTGATAATTTTGTTGTAGGAGGTACATTACTTACAGGAATATTTTTATCCTTGCCTTCTTTTAGTGATTTTGTTATGCATCTCACCTGCGATAATGCTAGCTCTTCATCATCCAACTGTCTTGTATTTTGTACATACGTTAGATCACTATTTGCGGCACTCACAAATCCATTTCCATTTTCATTCCGGAGCCTTTCATTTTCTGCTACATTTTCAAGGCGCTCATCAGAGCTGATAAAATTTTCTTCATTGAACTTCTTTAACTTCTTGACTGGTGATTTTTTCACTGGCACATTAGAAATGGAGGTGACTTCCTTGGAAGTTAAAACTGGTTTGTCTGATGATGTGGTTTGTATTTCATTACACTGTCTGAAAAAAATAATAAAAGGTATATTTCAAAGATGCATTTCAAAAGGTAATCTCATATGAGAACCAAAAATTTTTTTATTTTGAAAGATAACTCAACATTAAAGATATGAGAGAACCTTAAAAACAGATTTTCCAAATTCTTTTCACAGAAACTATTAAGCTCTGTAGTTCCACTGAGTTTTAATTAATTGTAGATCACTTGTAGCCTACGCTCTCCAGCACCTAGCTCAATGGTTTGCTTCCTACCAGAGAGAGATAGAAACAACAGAGTTCAAGTTAATGGGAGGAAGACCATACTCCAAAATATTCCGCCCTAGGAAGCGTCTCCCTCAGTTGTTACTAGTGGCATCATTTGAGGCGGGCCTGCATTTCTGAGGGCCTAGTAAAAATGAGGAAAATACATAGCAGGAAGAACAGCAATAGATCAAGCTACATTTTTCAGATTACAATAAATGCCCTCATCATGTTACTTATTTGTTTCATAGAGTTGGGCCGAAATGGATTTTTTGTGGCACTGGATACGGATACAGATAGAAATGTTTTATATCCGTCTACGGCCGCATACCGGATAATTTGCTGAGGTATCTGACCAGAACTGGATAATACCGGATCCGGATAGTGCTTTTTCGCGTGAGGAAAATCTCACGGTTTTGCACTTGGGACAAGAGGCACACTGTGTGCCATCGAGACTGTCATCTACGATGTATGTGCCTTTGTACTGGCGACCTCCTAATTTTCAAAGACACGCGATAAGTCGGCCTGCTATAACGAATACTAATAAAAAATGACCCGGCAGATGAGCAGCATTAGCTTTCATTTGATTCGTGATGTGATGGGATCTACTTCTGATGTGCAGAAAGAAAGATATTATCAAAAGAGAAAGTAAACGAGACTAAAGTGGAAAACAGCGCTGCCAACCTCACACTTTTGAAAGCACCGTTGCCGCTTGCCAATCAAAAGTCCCAGCGTTTCAAAGCCTGTCTTGATACGAAAAGTTGCTTGGTCAATCTCTTTTGATAGAGATCTCTAAATGAACAAGAGAAATGGATGTTTAAACCCATTACGAACTTAATTGGCCTTTGTCTTGATACTGCAATGACAGACTGCATACTGCGACATTACGATACTTGCGGAGTTACGCTCGGACTAAAAACGTTACCAACGGAGGAACTTATGCATCTGTTGGTGGCATTGTTTTTTTTTCCTATTCTACCTGCACTCTCCGTCTTTGAAATTTAAACTCGCGGCCTTAAGGAACTAAGGATCATGTTGCGATCGTGTTAATTCGCGGAAAATGTACTTAATTCCGGTAGTACAAGTTTCAAAAAGTTGAACAATTACCATTACTAGTCAAAGTGCGCCGGAGAGCGCCAAAATATCACCAAAAATTTCTCGAAATTTTCATGGCCAAAAAAGCATAATCCGGCAGGTCCAAAAATCGGATAGTGCGATTATCCGGCCGGATACGGATACCCGCGCAAACAGTATCGGACCGAATAATCCGGCAATCCTGATAATTGCTGGATACCTGGCACCAATTCTATTATTTACTTATTTTTTTATTTACTTAGGTATCATGTAATTTCAACAGGTAAGCAAAAGCAAAAAGTCGTTTGCTGTCCCCAAAGTTATGTTGAAAGGACGCCACTGGTTCTCACTGCCACCTATCAGTACCTCGTTAGACAGCCATATAGGAATATGGTATGCGTCATTGTTACAAGATAAGGAGCTCGGTCCGACTTTATGGTGCATGACATAAGTTATGCTATTGCTTAGGCTCCATGAGAGCACCTCACTGGTCAGTCCGGCTACTTACTACTCACTAGTACTACTGCAGGGTGTCTAATGGTACTTCATCACGTGAATTCTTTGCTTTTTTAAATATTTTCCTCACTTTTTCCTTACTTCTGCAAAAATTCCTTTTAGGAGAGGTTTTTAAAAGCCCCTTTTTACCCAATACCAATTTCTTTCTTTTTCTTTAAATTAGTTACATTTTCGACTTAACAAGGAACATAATTTTTTTCAAAGACATACAATCAGAAAATTTTGTTCAGCTTTTAACAAAAACAGTTTTCTTAGTGTACACAGGTCTTCAAAATCCAGCAACAAAAACATAATGAGAGCTGTGGTATTTATTTGAGAAAAACAAAGTTAGATTTAGTTTCGAGCGATAAAAAAGAACTTCTGAGAAATCTAGATTTGGAAAAGTAAATTTATGATTAAGAGGACTATTTTGAGAAATTGCATACTCCTAGGGCTACTTGTAAATTTTATCCTCATAAGCGAGTACATTAGTACCTTTCCATGGTGAATCTCTACACTTTCTGTACTTCTGTACCAACCTTTCAATATCTGTAAGTTTTCAGTGTATCCTTACTATTTTCATATAGTAGACTTCCTGTGCTACTTTGAGGCTCTGAACAATTAACATATACTCAGTTAATTTACTTATCAGTGCCATACCAATGAATCACTAACCATTGAAAAAGTCATGTCCTCAGTTATTTAACACAACACTTAATACTTGCTTGCATAATTTGTTTTTACTTTTTGAGATCTGCATAGTTTCAATTGAATTGATTCAACTTATGTCTTTTACAAAAAAAATGGATGTTTCGTTCAGCTTTCAGTCAAAAACGTGTTTTTTGTTTGTTTGTTGGTCTATTTGTTTCTTTACTTTGTGGCTCCTAGTTGTCCTGAGTCTATTATAATTCCTGATGCCAATTTCAAGACAAATATAAACTTACTTCTTCCAATTGTTCAACGATTTTTTAAATGACTGCTTCATTCGAGGATGTATGGAGATGATGTCTCCCTCACTTATATCCAATGTTATTAATTGGTCTGCTTTACTTGTACCTTTTCTCGGTGGTATTTTACAATTTAAAATGAAAATATCTTTGTCATCCTAGAAAAAAGGGAAAAAATCAATAACTTAAAATAGACACAACAATAATTGCTACTTTAGAAGAAGAACAAAAAGAGGAGTGGAATGCTGTGAGTAATTGTTGAATGTTTAACCGTAACAGCATGAAGACTTGACAAAAATAAGGAACTGCTTGTAGTAGAACAAAAGTGAAGAATTATCTCAATTTTGTTGTTTTGAGTAGCAGAAAAAAATATGACATGATGAAAAGTTAGACTTTGGTGAACATGAGAAAAACTCAAAGCTACACCATCATATACGGACAAGAGGGTCGCTTTCATAGCTCCATAGCCTGACCCCTAGAGCCCTCTACCCTCCAAAAGCCTCTTAGGGAGTTACCACACCCATACTATGATTAGATCTCTTGTTACTAGCCTTTTACTGGGGGTCTCCTGCATCCACTCCCGGTAGAGACCCAATCCTTTTAGGCTGCCTCTTTTCTGTAATTTTGATAACACGAACATACAAGACTTCATATGATGTCATCTTCCATTTCCATGGACTGATGAATTGTGTTATTCCAGCTAACATCCTCCAGAAATCCATCTCTCTAGCTCTTAGCATACTCTGCGTATGTTTCAACAGCTGGGTCATTCCGCTAGGACACAATTAGGTTCCAAGCTTGACCCCCTCTGATTTGGTTTCAAATTGGTATACTGGGTCTTTACATCATTCTAAGAAACTTGCAAGAAACGAGCAACAATGCAAGATGGACCAAAAGTTTAGAGGTGGAGCAAATTATACCAGATGGTGATTATTTACCTGCAACAGTTGAAAAACAGGTTTGGCTGAGGTGTTCTTCAGTAAAATTGAAACATCCTGTCGATTTTCTTCAATGGTTGCAGCGCTGAGACAATCATTGACAGTTTTAAATTTCCTCAAGCTAAGAGGAAAGACTGTCAGCTTTAAAGGGCAGCTGCTCTTTCTTTTAACCCGTAAGGCTACATGGTCATCATCAAGCTTGTGAAATTCTACAATCTGAAAAATTTCAATAAAAAACATGATCTACTTCAGGTATTGAAATTAGGGGGCGTTTAGTGATATTATAATTTGTAATTTATCAGATTTGTGGGCATAGGTTTCAATAAATTGAAATAATTATAAATAATAATCTACTGGTATGATTAGGTTGGAAGAGGAGATCAGTGGGTGGTTCTCATAGACTGGGGGAGAAAATGATGGACCAACTAAAGGGTCTCTCGTGGGTTGCCCTTAGTCAGTTTATTACCCACCTCCTTTGTCCATTGCAACCACCCGTTTCAACCAATACAACCCCTCCATATCCTTTTGGTCTTCTTTGTCTATAGCTTTGTCTACCAACTTCAACAATCAGCCTGCTGACATATCTTTAAAGTCGATGGAGATAAAACTTATTGAAAACAAACTCTTAAACATAGTGATAATCAAACACACCTCTTAAACAACAATGACCTTGATGGAATCAAGAAAGAAATGCTGGGATTTATCAGCAAGGATCAGTTGTGATAAAGCTGAAGGTGAAGCAAGAAAGCTCCGAAACAATTGCCCAAAAATTTATAATAAAAGAGAGAGCTTAGAGTTTATGCGATTGACAACTGGGTGTACTCACTAAGCATCCTTATGTTCAATAAAAATTTAATAACAAAATTGACTGCCATCTATATATTTAAATCCCAAGGCTTTTTTTGTTATCCTTCAGTTTGGACAGTTTGTGCTAATTCGATCTCGGAAACTACTGGACTAATTTTCCTCGGATTTGTTGTAAACGAAAGCTCTTAGGCTCTAGATGTGCCAGCACTCTTTGGTTTTTCGATTTGCACGATGGATGTTGCAAAATTACCTCGATTAAACAAACTAGCTGCTGGTTTTAGCAGGTTAATAGCTGAGTCATATGGTTGGGGGACCGGGACCTCCCACAGTCTGATTTTCTGTTACCCTCTCCACGTAAACCCATCCCTACCTGCTCACAAAACGTGTCACCCTTCTACTCTGGCATGAGTCCTACGGCAGCATCACTCCCTTCCTTATGCTGTCTGACTTGGAACACCTGCTACGAATTTCCTCCATCGCATTGCTCAAATTAAGTTCTCGGTTTGTCCAGGTTTCCTATCAGTGCATCTAGAGTTTTGCTTTCTTGATTTTGTCTTTAGTTTTTTTTTACATCATTAAAATTACTTAATTTTGATGTGTATTTTTCAGAGGATAATTTTCTTTTTTACAGCAGCACAGGTTTTACTAAAAATTAACTTTTTTACAGCAGCTCATGTGTTTTTTCAAGAGAATCGGTGATTAATCTTCACCCTTTCGCACCGTTAAATTTTCACAAAAAGTTTTGATTTTCTTTTCCAGGAGTGATTTTTATTTTTCGAGGATGTTTCTTTTTTTAGAAGTAGGTAGTTATCATTATTAGTTTCTTATTCTATGTTTTTGAATTTATCATTTTGTCTCCAGGAAGTCCTCTAATTACTTGTAGCAAAATTTGGCTCGCAAGGCGAGCCAACAGTCGACGCAAGCGAGCGTAGCGAGCTGAAGCAGCTAGTTATGATTAAAATTCAACTAAAATTGGACAAAAGGATTTGTTTTTTGAATAAACAGGTGCAAAATTTTCTGGTTGTCAGTTATTTGTGGCTATTAAAAAAGTAATTTATTAGTGTATTTTTATTTTTTCATTTATTAGTGGCTAATAAAGTAGAAGTGTCAGAATTTTTTGAGGAAGTTTAAGAAGTAGAATTGAAAGATGATAATGTTTTACCACTAATATTTTGTTAAAAAAAGATTTGACTCAAATTTCTTCTTTCCTAAAAGATCCTTTCCGATCAAAACTAATCAGACTTTTCCTGGGTTCCTGCTTTAGAGAGAGGGAAGGAGATCTCTTAAAAGGGGATGAAAATGGAACCAAACCCAATTCACGTAAACACAAGGTACATGAGAATATCAGAACATTAGTTAACCTTGCATAATTAGCACTACAATATATCCCTGTCAACAATTCATCTTTGATTTCAAGTGCTGCCAACCTTCGCGATAAAGAATATCTGAAAATCTTAAATCAATATTTTAACGCAGCACATGCAAAATCGGGCTATTTTCACTGGACTGCCGACATATTTAGTACAATTTCGTTCACTAGAACCACTGATGCGCTACTGTTGAATCGATGCAAATTCAAATGAAACAGGCTAGAAAATCAAATGCTACTTTCTTTTTCAAATTGTTAGCTATCATGATTCAAAAGATAATTGCGATTGTGATTCAAATTTGATTAAATACACATCTTCAACTATCTGAATTCCTTATTGGTTCACATGTGCAAGGTAAAAATTGAGTGAAGCTGTTTTGTACCTTTTCGAAATTCTGCAGATGTTTTGAAAACTTAACTAACACAGAAGGAAAGAGAAAAAAAAAATAGTAGACAAGTTGGTGAAAACGTTTTGGATAGTAACTTCACGTCACTCTAATTACTCCAATAATTCTCATTATCTGGTAATTTTGGTTTCAAGGGTAATGTTGTTTGTTGCGAAGGGTATAATTTAAATTGAGACTAATGATGACTTGACACAAAAGCTGACCAACGTTATTTTCGGCGTAAAACCTTCAGATAAAAAATTGAAATTCACGGTGCCAGTTTGAAAACTGCCATTACCTGACAAAACATGTGACAAACAGACTCGTATTTAAGGTCTGTAAAATCTTCAGCAGACAGCTTCTTATCAATTGTTTCAAATAGCGCCTCAACTTTTTCAGCATTATCAATTACAGGAGCACTTTCTTCTAGTGTTAAAACCATGTCATTTTCATTGTGTTCAGGTGACTGTGTATTAGCTTCCGCCTCTAGATTTGAATTTATCCATTCTTTTATCTTGAAAATGATTTCGGCATCTTCCTCTAAAAGTTAAGGCAAAGAGAAAGGGTCAAACAGTTATCAAACACAAACTTAGACTGTTCTTTGATGATAACCAGATGGATACAAAAATAATGTGGATAGAATTAACATTTCAGCAAGTCAATAAAACTTTTCGTAGCTAACAAAGAAATTTAGCAGCTACATAAGTAAGTGAATTTTTAAAATTCATTCAGCCTGCTCTAAATCTTGACTATCTAACTAAAGCAAAATTTTGCTGGGGAAGTAAAAAACAATTAAAGAATCCAGTGCCACAAATCAAGTTGAGAACCCAAAATTACTTACTTTGGAGGAGGCAAACAGGGTCATTCCATATAGAACCTACCAGCCATGCAACCACCCGACTCGGATTTTGATGATAAATTTTTCTCTTGATCAGACCACCAAATAATGAACTTCTGCAAAATATTAGGTCTCAAATCGAAAAACTCATTGAGATATGAATTTTTGAAGTTTTAAGAATTTTCAAGAAAGTGACGTTTCGAACTTCTGAGAAAGAGAGGGTCATTTTTCCCAATAAAATTCACACCGGGCCCATTTTTCGTCGGATTGAAGTGAAAATTTGACACAATGTCAATGAAAGTATGAATATTTGAGAAAAAAATGCATAAAATGTTCGACTTCACTCATTGATGTGCTGCGGTTGATTGTTTCTTGTGATTTTGTCTGATTTTGGCGACAAAACCTTCCCCTCTTCAAATGCAGATAACTATTGAGCTGAAAGTTATTTTTCGCTCCAATTTTCTTTAAAATGCTCCTAAGAGTATTAGAAAGACGCCTAAAGAACAATTCTGATGGTGTTTTGGGCTTTAGTATCTTTTTTTTTCACTTTTGTCCAAAAAAGGCGTAAAAAACTGAAAATAACACCAAAATGATTCCGATAATCGACCATTACCCTGAAAAGTCCACTCAATAATCGCTCATTTTTTGCCTGAATGGTCCTTACTGTGTATACAATATGTTTGAAAAATACAATCAATGCGCAAAAAAGGCGCATCGCGTTCCCCCGCGACCCTCTGAGAGCGGTTGCGCCCTCGAATGCCCTTGGCGGCTCGTTCAAGTGTGCGAGAGAGGTAGAAAATCGCCTGGCGGGACGCTTGGGCGTGCGAGAGAGACAGAAAACCGCCAGGGGGCTCGCTCAAGTGTGCGAGAGAGATAGAAAATCGCCTGGGGGACGCTTGGGTGTGCGAGAGAGACAGAAAACAGCCAAGCGGCTCGCTCGATTTTCTGTCACTCTCGCAATGGGTGCCCTTAAACGGGGCAACCGAGGGTGCAACCACTCTCGGAGGGTCGCAGGGTAACGCGATGCTGCTTTGACGGAAAAACCACCCAAGTCCCGCCTGGCTATTTGCTGTCTCTCTCGCACTTATACGCTTCCTACCTGGGCGATTTTCTGTCTCTCTCGCACACTTTAGCGAGCCGCCTGGCTGTTTTCTGTCTCTGTCGCACACAATCGCGTCGTGCAAGGCGATTTTCTATCCCTCTCGCACTTAAACGCTTGCTACCTGGGCGATTTTCTGTCTCTCTCGCACTGGGTGCCGTTAAACGGGGATACCGAGGGTGCAACCACTCTCGGAGGGTCGCGGGGGAACGCGATGCTGCTTTGACGGAAAAACCACCCAAGTCCCGCCTGGCTATTTGCTGTCTCTCTCATACTTATACGCTTCCTACCTGGGCGATTTTCTGTCTCTCTCGCACACTTGAGCGAGCCGCCTGGTTATATTCTGTCTCTCTCGCACACAATCGCGTCATGCAAGGCGATTTTCTGTGTCTCTCGCACTTAAACGCTTGCTACCTGGGCGATTTTCTGTCTCTCTCGCACACGTTAGCGAGCCGCCTGGCTATTTTCTGTCCCTCTCGCACTTACACGCTTCCTACCTGGGCGATTTCCTGTCTCTCTCTGTCTCTTCCTGTCTCTGTCTCTGCGAGAGAGATAGAAAATACCCAGGCGACTCGCGAAAGTGTGCGAGAGAGACAGAAAATCGCCCAGGTAGGAAGCCTATAAGTGCGAGAGAGACAGCAAATAGCCAGGCGGGACTTGGGTGGTTTTTCCGTCAAAGAAGCATCGCGTTCCCCCGCGACCCTCCGAGAGTGGTTGTACCCTCGGTTGCCCCGTTCGAGGGCACCCAGTGCGAGAGAGAAAGAAAATCGCCCAGGTAGCAAGAGTACAAGTGCGAGAGAGACACAAAATCGCCCAGGTAGGAAGCGTATACGTGCGAGAGAGACAGAAAATAGCCAGGCGGCTCGCTAAAGTGTGCGAGAGAGACAGAAAATCGCCCAGGTAGGAAGCGTATAAGTGCGAGAGAGACAGCAAATAGCCAGGCGGGACTTCGGTGGTTTTTCCGTCAAAGCAGCATCGCGTTCCCCCGCGACCCTCCGAGAGTGGTTGCACCCTCGGTCGCCCCGTTCAAGGGCACCCAGTGCGAGAGAGACAGAAAATCGCCTGGCGGGACGCTTGGGTGTGCGAGAGAGACAGAAAATCGCCCAGGTAGCATGAGTACAAGTGCGAGAGAGACAGAAAATCGCCCAGGTAGGAAGCGTATGAGTGCGAGAGAGATAGAAAATAGCCAGGTAGCTGGCGAAAGTGTGCGAGAGAGACAAAAAATCGCCCAGGTAGGAAGCGTATAAGTGCGAGAGAGACAGAAAATAGCCAGGCGGCTCGCTAAAGTTTGCGAGAGAGACAGAAAATCGCCCGGGTAGGAAGCGTATAAGTGGGAGAGAGACAGAAAATCGCCCAGGTAGCAAGAGTACAAGTGCGAGAGAGACACAAAATCGCCCAGGTAGGAAGCGTATACGTGCGAGAGAGACAGAAAATAGCCAGGCGGCTCGCTAAGTGCGAGAGAGACAGCAAATAGCCAGGCGGGACTTGGGTGGTTTTTCCGTCAAAGCAGCATCGCGTCCCCCCGCGACCCTCCGAGAGTGGTTGCACCCTCGGTTGCCCCGTTCAAGGGCACCCGGCGCGAGAGAGACAGAAAATCGTCCAGGTAGCAAGCGTATAGGTGCGAGAGAGAAAGAAAATCGCCTTGCACGACGCGATTGTGTGCGAGAGAGACAGAAAATAGCCAGGCGGCTCGCTCAAGTGTGCGGGAGAGACAAAAAATCGCCCAGGTAGGAAGCGTATAAGTGCGAGAGAGACAGAAAATAGCCAGGTAGCTGGCTAAAGTGTGCAAGAGAGACCAAAAATCGCCCAGGTAGGAAGCGAATAAGTGCGAGAGAGACAGAAAATAGCCACGCGGCTTGCTAAAGTGTGCGAGAGAGACAGAAAATCGCCCGGGTAAGAAGCGTATAAGTGGGAGAGAGACAGAAAATCGCCTAGGTTGGAAGCGTATAAGTGCGAGAGAGACAGCAAATAGCCAGGCGGGACTTGGGTGGTTTTTCCGTCAAAGCAGCATCGCGTTCCCCCGCCACCCTCCGAGAGTGGTTGCACCCTCGGTTGCCCCGTTCAAGTGCACCGAGTGCGAGAGAGACAGAAAATCGCCCAGGTAGCAAGCGTATAAGTGCGATAGAGATAGATGATCGCCTTGCACGACGCGATTGTGTGCGAGAGAGACGGAAAATGGCCAGGCGGCTCGCTAAAGTGTGCGAGAGAGACAGAAAATCGCCCAGGTGGGAAGCGTATATGTGCGAGAGAGACAGAAAATCGCCCAGGTGGGAAGCGTATAAGTGCGAGAGAGACAGCAAATAGCCAGGCGGCTCGCTAAAGTTTGCGAGAGTGACAGAAAATCGCCCAGGTAGGAAGCGTATAAGTGCGAGAGAGACAGCAAATAGCCAGGCGGGACTTGGGTGGTTTTTCCGTCAAAGCAGCATCGCGTTACCCCGCGACCCTCCGAGAGTGGTTGCACCCTCGGTTGCCCCGTTCGAGGGCACCCAGTGCGAGAGAGACAGAAAATCGCCCAGGTAGGAAGCGTATAAGTGCGAGAGAGACAGAAAATAGCCACGCGGCTTGCTAAAGTGTGCGAGAGAGACAGAAAATCGCCCGGGTAAGAAGCGTATAAGTGGGAGAGAGACAGAAAATCGCCCAGGTTGGAAGCGTATAAGTGCGAGAGAGACAGCAAATAGCCAGGCGGCTCGCTAAAGTGTGCGAGAGTGACAGAAAATCGCCCAGGTAGGAAGCGTATAAGTGCGAGAGTGACATCGAATAGCCAGGCGGGACTTGGGTGGTTTTTCCGTCAAAGCAGCATCGCGTTACCCCGCGACCCTCCGAGAGTGGTTGCACCCTCGGTTGCCCCGTTCAAGGGCACCGAGTGCGAGAGAGACAGAAAATCGCCCATGTAGCAAGCGTTTAAGTGCGATAGAGATAGAAGATCGCCTTGCACGACGCGATTGTGTGCGAGAGAGACGGAAAATGGCCATACGGCTCGCTAAAGTGTGCGAGAGTGACAGAAAATCGCCCAGGTAGGAAGCGTATAAGTGCGAGAGTGACATCGAATAGCCAGGCGGGACTTAGGTGGTTTTTCCGTCAAAGCAGCATCGCGTTACCCCGCGACCCTCCGAGAGTGGTTGCACCCTCGGTTGCCCCGTTCAAGGGTACCCAGTGCGTGAGAGACAGAAAATCGCCTGGCGAGACGCTTGGTTGTGCGAGAGAGATAGAAAACAGCCTGGCGGCTCTCGAATAAGTGCGAGAGAGAAAGAAAATCGCACGGTTGGACTTGCGTTTTTTTTACGGCAAAGGCGCGTCGCGTTCCCCCGCGTCCCTCTTAGAGCGGTTGCGCCCTCCGTTGTCCTTGGCGGCTCGCTCAAGTGTGCAAGAGAGATGGAAAATCGCCTGGCGGGACGCTTGGTCGTGCGAGAGAGACAGAAAAAAACCAGGCGGCTCGCGCATAAGTGCGAGAGAAAGAAAGTCGGACGGTTGGACTTGCGTTGTTTTTACGGCAAACGCGCATCGCGTTCCCCCGCGACCCTCAGAGAGCGGTTGCCCTTGGTGGGACGCTTTAGTGTGCGAGAGAGAAAGAAAATCGCCTGGCGGGACGCTTGGGTGTGCGAAAGAGACACATAACAGCCAGGCGAACACACATCCAAGAGTCAGTATATCGCATTTAAATGTGAATAGGGATGCCCACCAGTTAAGGGATACCTGCAGTTTTATTTCCTTCCTTTAAATACCGATCTTAAAGATAGGATTGAAGGAAAAAACTACTACAACCAAGAATACACTATATTCACTTCTCAAGTTAGTATGCTTCCCATACAACAAGAGTCTTTTGGTGAAAAATCTGGGCCCCCAATCAATTGCTTTTTTAATGCAATGGCCGGTTAATGAGATTTTCCTAGCGCTTTTTTCAGTTAAGCGAGCCTCTCTTGAGTAAAATTGTTGGGAGGAGGGTTGTGGAAACCGAACATACCATCACTTTTATTCCCCAGATGCATTTCACATGCAGTTAGAACCATTCAGTAAAAATGTGAGCAATCTTTAAGTTGCTACTCCAAAGTTGGGGCCAATAATTGGCGTAATTTCAGTGTTTTTCAGTTTTGCGCGCCTTATTTGGGCAAAAACTCGAAGTAAAAGATATTTAAACCCAAAATATCATTGATTGTATTTTTCAAACATATTGTACACACAGTAAGGACCATTCAGGCAAAAAATGAGCGATTTTTGAGTTGACTTTTCAGGGTAATGGTCGATTATCGGAATCATTTTGGTGTTATTTTCAGTTTTTTACGCCTTTTTTGGACAAAAGTGAAAACAAGATACTAAAGCCCAAAACACCATCAGAATTGTTCTTTAGGCGTCTTTCTAATACTCTTAGGAGCATTTTAAAGAAAATTGGAGCGAAAAATAACTTTCAGCTCAATAGTTATCTGCATTTGAAGAGGGGAAGGTTTTGTCGCCAAAATCAGACAAAATCACAAGAAACAATCAACCGCAGCACATCAATGAGTGAAGTCGAACATTTTATGCATTTTTTTCTCAAATATTCATACTTTCATTGACATTGTGTCAAATTTTCACTTCAATCCGACGAAAAATGGGCCCGGTGTGAATTTTATTGGGAAAAATGACCCTCTCTTTCTCAGAAGTTCGAAACGTCACTTTCTTGAAAATTCTTAAAACTTCAAAAATTCATATCTCAATGAGTTTTTCGATTTGAGACCTAATATTTTGCAGAAGTTCATTATTTGGTGGTCTGATCAAGAGAAAAATTTATCATCAAAATCCGAGTCGGGTGGTTGCATGGCTGGTAGGTTCTATATGAAATGACCCAACATGGAAACTATGACTAAAGAATTATTCCAAAAAAGATTAAATAATTACAGTCAATTTTAAAGAATTACATTAAAAACACCCAAAACCAAGGTTGAAGTCGTTGATAAGCTATGCTACTCGAGCATTTTTATATGGCTTTGAGTCCCAACAGAAAGCCTGCCAAGATTCATATTCAGTTTCTTCTGGCTGTCCTTAAATTTTTAATATGATGAAGAAAAGTTGATTATAAGTACTTTTTTTGTCATTAGAATTAAAACAAAAAGCAAGAAAACAGTTGTCAAATTATCGCATAATTCATACAAAATTGAAAAAAAATAGTTACAGGTAGTATAGAGCAGAGAAAGAAGTTCAGATTCGTTGGAGTAAAGTGGCGACTCAATACTGCAAGCCAAAAAACAATTACCTAACATTTATAAAATGGAAAAAAAACAATATGAATAAATTCTCTTTCATCAAACATACCTGTAAATGTGACATACTTTTTCGCCCATGATGTTCCTCTAATTTTTTTAGCAGTTGCATCACACTCTTCTGGATTAAATACCATAAAATCTTGTGAATTGACAGATCCATCCCTGTTTCCATTGAATAATTCCAGCTGAAAATGTAAGGTAAAAAATTAAGAGGAAAAACATTTGACAAGCAATAGCAGCATATTAAGAAGAGTTAACGGAAAGGTTTCAAAAAACAGAAGAAAAAAAGGGACAGGAAAAAAAAATTATATGACCCCATGAAAAGAGAGGAGATAAATTCAAAATTTAGGCATTGGTACAGCTGGTTAAGGAAATACTTAACAACAATTTCTGTAGAAAAACTTCAAAATCTAACATCCAAATAAACTAAAATTATGGCATAGACTTGATAGATGTGAAGCCTGTATACAAAAATGTGGTTTTCAGAGAATGCTATTGGAGTAATCTATCGAGCTGAGAAAGAATGCTGTATGTGCCTTCAAACTTTGCTAAATTTCTTTTGATAAAATGCGAAATTTCAAGGAAATCTGAGAGTATTTCCCCTCCAATTTTTCAGAGAATTTTATTCTCGATCAAATCTTGATTATCTAAAAATTTCAAAAGAAAATATTTATAACTCTCCTTAAAAATAAACAATTTATTGGAGGAAATCTGGAAACTATCGAATGTTCATACGTCTTTTTCTTTTAACACGGCAGTGCTGGACAAGGTAAGAATTGAGGCACTGCAAGAAATGTTATCTTATCATCAGAATTTCTTGCAGCGCACATTAAACATACTAAGAATACCCAAAATTAACACATAGAAAAGAGATTAGCATTGATTATTCACAGTAGAGTAAGAAAATTTTAACTTCCCTTTCGTAGAAAAAACCGAAAATAAAATTTAAGTCAAATTCTTCTTTGAAAACAAGCAGATCATAAGGCAAAAAGTTGCTTTTTTGTGTAACTAACTAAAACACAACTAAATTAATGAAGGCATATGCTTACAACATCAAACTAGAATTTTAAAAAATATATGACTTCAAATCTCACTCTAACCTATCTCTGAATTTAATAGAACGTTGTGAAATGCATCGCTTTAAGCCTCCCTTCTTACTGATGAGAACATTGAAATACATTTATTTTTCGTTATTTAAAAATATAAGTAGCAGAGAGCTTAAAGATACTAACTCTGAGTCGATGAAACCGTATTATTTGATGTTTTCTTATTAGTGGAGGTTCCCAACCCTTTTCATAGAATATTGATACTTTGATGTCTTGTTCGTCCAGAGAGTCATCGGTTACCTTTATCCTGAGAACGTTTTTTGTTGGACCTGCATGAGGGGTCTGAAAAAAGAATATTAGTCAGGGTATTCCAGTAGAGCAGCAAACTTTATTTTTCCTCCTCTACTTTAAGGGCAAGTTTTAGTGAAGACTTGAAATTGTTCGACATGGGTTTTATTCAGGCAAGTTTTCCTACAACTCAATGCTAATGAAATTAACGTTCATAGTCTGAAATAGGGAATCATGTTTCTGCTAAAAAATTTGAGAACATTTTGGGAGCCCAGCTTAAAGAAAGAAAGAAAGGAAGAAATAAAAAGGACTACGCACAGAATATCGCGGAATTCAACTGCAGCAAAAATTCGATATAATTAGATATAATGTTCTCTACAGCCTCTTGAGCATGGTGAACTTTTGAAATCAAATTTCAAAAGTCTTGAGTCTTTTATCTTGAGGGAAGTAGGACTGATAAGTGAAATTTTTGGGTATTTTCCACATAATGTATGGTAAAAAGAATGCAACATCTTATTGGTGATCATGGAGAGCTTTTATTTCCTCAAAGACCAGGAAGATAATAACCAACAAACATAATGAAATTTCTCCCAATGATAACAATGTATGGCACAGCATCCACATGGACATATCAACAATTCTACTTTTCCATGCTTAGAAAGTGCATGTGAGAAGACCGAAAATTTACTCTGCAGACCCACTTTTCTCGACATTGGTAAAGAGAAAGTTCAATTTTGACAGTTCATCGAGCTTAGGGAGCTTACAAAACAGAATATCAAATAGTATATATTGAAATTCGGCTGGCACCAAATTACTTGGTATTCTACGCTTTGTCCTTCGGATTTTGGTGTCTTAAGAGCAGTTATAGTTAGAAAAATTTAAGAAAACAAAGAGAAGAGCGGCATTATTGTCCTTTGTTGATGGACTCATTCAAGCAGAGGATACAGGTATATGACAGACAATTTTTTACTTACTCACTTGGCCACGCAAAATCAGAAGATCAGTGCAGGACATTTGCTGGCTGCAATGGTAAATTTTTAATAGAATTGTTTTCATTTTTATGCTTTGAATTTTGTCTTCGTTTACATAGGAAACGTTTGCCATTGCAATGCCTAAGATGCACAAAATGGGAATTGAAATGTCTTGTTTGAAACAAGAGTGTAGGGTTATATTACATTTAATTATGACTCCTTACTTCAAGATAGTTTCAGGAGAAATGTGTATTGAGAGATATCAAAATGATATGCTTGGAAAATGAAGTACTACTTACCCCAGTTTCTGTTACAACTGCATAACAGTGCATTTTCTCGCAGTTTGGTGCCTCTATTAATTTTGTATACTTGTAAGTGAGGTGGTTAGCGATTGTAAGGAATTCATTTGAATTTTTTGCACTTCCATTAATGATTTTGACATCAACTTTTTTTCCGTTTGTGACATTAGCTGCAGCAGAGTTTTTGACGGTTTTCTCAAGATGACCATTCATCTCTTTTCTGACATTAGTTGATCGATTTCGGTTATTCTCACCATCCACTCCTTTTGTTTCACCCAATTTCTGAGAATTAGACCTTGTTGTCCTGGTTATTCCTTTATCCCCTTCATCAGAATCACTCAGCTCTATATGCATGATTTCATCATTTTTGCTCCTTTTAAGTTCTGGAAGTTCATAATAAGACCGCTGAGAACTTAAGGAGAGGAGCTTATGGGGTCTTTTAGTGATCTTTACCTTATCATTCTTTGATTCTTTGGTTTGTTCAATAGAATCAAGTTGAGAGGTGGTCTCTAAGCTCTGGAAAAAAGAGATGCATGGCATGAATAATAAGATAGTGGCACTTTTCCTAAAAGGAAGGCTAGAAAGTATAATATCATTGCAAGATGTTATGTTATTGAGGTAACATAATTTCATTTTTTAGATCCTTAGGAATACTGGAAAAATTTCAAAATACTACAAGACAAGATGCGAATTCAAGCATATGATACATGAATTCCCATCTAAGTTTCACATGGATTATGATTGAACAGTGAAAATTACTGAAAGTCAGTGACTCTTGATAAAGATATTATCGTTTTTCGGTGCATCAATTTGAACCTCCCGCTTTAAAAAAAAACCATAATCTACAAGGGTTATCCCAAAAGCCTTGGGTGTTTTGATCTCATTTCAAAGTATTTAAGATAGGAAAAATTTGATTAGATGTGCATATAAGGCATACTTTCAGCTTTAATTTTAGCTCGAGTTTTTGAAATCGGATAAACAGGACGCTTAGGAGGTTATTTTTCCCCCGCCGCCTTCGATGCGTCTCCCGCCACCTCCAGGCATGTGATAAGTCAATTTTCAGAACCCACTTGGCACAAATCTAATTCAAACATTCATGAACGATTCAATGCAAGACAGATCGCAGAATTTCAAGAAAAAATCCAAGCATTTCGTCGAGTGGTAATTCGAATTTCCCACTCACAAGTAAAAAAATAGTCTCCTTGAATCAAAACATCCACTGCAACAGTTTTGACAGGCTTCTGAATTGGACAGTGTTCCCTCCTTACCCTGTCTTGTTCAAAATGTTAAAAAGGCGCAACAGCTGAGCCAAAGCAGCAAGATTGAGGTTGCCAAATTTTCATGCCGCAGAGACTGTTACGGCAAAGTTTAGTGCGCGATATGACACACACAGACTCGTTTTTTCATGAAAAGGAGGTTTGAATTTACTCATGGGAAAACATTGCACATATAGGTGGGGATTTTATTTTTAGTAATTATTTTTGCGCGAATGGTGTTCTATCTGAAATTCGGATAAAGAGACAAACTTGTCTAAAGAATACTAATACTTGTATTAGTATTCTTAAATTCTCACCTTGTTTTGTGGTTCATTACAGAAGAGTCTTCTGGTTGAAAAAAAAAAAAACAAAAAAAAAAACCATGACCTTCTGCTGCATCTCAGCAAACACACTTTTTTTCCTTGCTTGGCATTGCAGCGAGGGCATGTTTGATCAACTGTATATTACATCAGAAACCTAAATCAACTGATCAGTTGAGTGTCCTTATGACCGATTTTCAGTGTGATTTAAAAAGGCTTTAGAGAGAGCCATTTGAAAATGAACATTACCGTTGTTGTGAAGAACATTTTCACCCTTCTCTTTGGCTGACATTTGACAGTGATTTGATACTCCAGAAGGTGTTCCTGTTTTGAATACATTTTTGAATACTCTACAGAACTGTTTGGAATGACATGGAATCCATAAAATCCAATGAGATTTCCTTTTTGAACTTCGGCGCTTTCTAGCTCTTCAGCACATTCATTGAAAAGCATGACACGCAGGTGCGATTTTTTCTCTTTGTCCTTTTTAAGAGCTGTGGAGGGAATCAAAGGAAAATATGATTAATAGACCCATTGGTGGTGGATGAGGTAAGACATCAAATAGCGCATCAACAGCAGACAATATTGCAGAGTTATAAAAAAAAAAGAAAGAAAGTAGAAAAGAAAAAACTTAGTTTTGAACTTAATGTACCAAACAGTGAAACTAAAAGGGACATGATCTGCAGTTCTCATTAAACAAAATTCGATGACTACTTAACCGTTTTAAAACTAATAATTTATTTAAGGCTTCCGCAGGTTTCCTCTATCTAAGGATTAAGGAAAAAGTGTTGAAAATTGGAAGAAAAGCTATCAGTGATTCACTCCTGAGTATTCAACTGAAAAATACAGACTTTGTGAGATGTAAACTGAGAAGCTTCAAAGGTTGTCACTTTTGATGACAGTGTAATCAAGGTACTAGTATCCGCTTAAAACAGTGTTGCCGTTTTGCGTAGTTGGAGGATCGTTGCGTAGTGGCTGCGTAATTTCAAGAAATCTGCGTAATTCGCGCTTACTTGAATTTTTTTGACCATTTCAATTTTTTGCCTCAGTTTTCAGGTTAGGTACGTCTTGCCAATATTGGTAAATAGTCGTAGTGAAGATAGAATTTTTTACCAAGGAGCAATGTTGCAACCTTTATTTCTTGATCCCTACCTTAATAAGAAACAAAAAGATTTCAGAATTTTAAAATACCCGTGAAATTGTGCATAATTTGACTTAAACTGAGTAATTACTGCGTAATTTGAAAGTTTTCTGTGTAATTGCTATATGTATAGACAATTTCTGTGTAATGGCTTGCGTTATTGAGAAATTTTGCTGCATAATGTTGCGTAATTTTCCATCGGGTTGTGTACGCAGAACAGTAAAACTGGTTTGAAAATAAATTATTACAAAAATGATAGCAGAAAAAGAAGAAGAAACAATTACCTCCTTCCAAAATGATAATCTTGACAGCACCCTTTGAACCTACATGCCTTTTTAAAGGGTAAACTTTAGACACTGCCCCCTGAAAAAATGACAGGTTAATTTTTACTATAATTGATAAAGATGCATGATGAAAGATAAAAGAATATTTGTTGCTTTTTCTATTACAATAAATTGACAGTTTCATTGATTTTTTTAAAGAAACGAGTTTGAAGTTGAAAAACTACATCAGCGTTTGCATCACAAATGAAAATTACACTAAAACTAATAATCTAAAATTAGTACAATTTCGAATTCAGCAAATTTTTCACTTTTTCCGAGAATATCCCTTAACTTTTGAGTAAATCTAAGCTTCTCTTTCATCAGCTCCCTGGATGGTTATTCAACTGCCACCACGATTATTCAAAATTCTCTCATTTGCACATATTAATTCTAATGACAGATGCGTTTCACCGCAGTCTGTGGAGCATCATTGGTGCAACACGAACAGCATTGAATTGCACAAATGATGCTCTGTAGGCTGGGGCAAAATGCATCCCTTGTCAAAATAATTACATGCCAGTGAGAAAGTTATAATTAATTTGATTTAAACACAAAATTTGAAGATTAAAAATTTTGAAATAGCTAAGTAGAAAAGTGCATCCCACAGAAATATTAGAGATCGAAAGGCAAAGCAATTTGCAATGATCACTCAGAACATACTCTTGGCATTATTTCAAAGAGTTTCCTGGTCAAATTGTATGTAAACATACTTGAGGTGCTACAGTGTGATGTATACACTCACAAAAATTCGTCTAGGTATATCAACTTGATTGTCATCTGATTGGTTAGATTTCGATTAATTTTTTCTTCCCGTGAAAATGCTCTTTTTAACTTTACGATGGACCCTTTGGTTTCTTTACTACGTCACACATGTATACAAAAAGCCTTTAAAAATCCTGCAAAAATCCTTGCCACAGCCATATCATTCACTATATGTTTTCTATATCTAGATGTAACCAGAGGGCTTTCTGCTGCCTGAACCACAGAGGATCGCAATGAACCATCCAAATGGCTTTTTTTTTCATCCGTGGAACGCATGGGACACGATGGGTTGGGTTCTTTGCAGTTCTGGCCGGTTCAACTGGCGGAAGAGCGGTCCAAGTGTTCCACTGGAACGAATAGAACGCCCAACAACTGTGCCAGTGGACCAAGATAAAAAAGAGACACGATTCATGGCAATCCTCTACAATTCAGATAAAAAGGCCCTCTGCTGAGATGGTCATCATGTTACAAGCAATCCTGATCTCAAGCAGGAGTGTTTTGAATCGCAGATAATTTTTTTGTTTCCAGGGAAAATGACCATCTAATGTGTGATCCTGCAGTTTTGAAAGTGGCTGTATATCCACAAGGCGGAATCAGGCCAATCAACTTCAACCTACAAACAACGACATAACCCTATCCATTCCTTTTCATGGATTGAAAACTGAATGAGCAAAATAATTCTGAGCTATAAGCGAGCTCTACCTTTCTTTGGAAGCTAAAGGTATGCTGTTAGCAGGAATTTTCACCCTCTTATGAGATATCGGTGGACCCAGCAGTTGAGAAGAATATCCTGATCGGACTGTAAATAGTTGGGCTTTAGGAATGAGAAGTCACTTACGATAGTCAAAGTGTTGTTATTGGTGGTACCGATTCCGCATTCAGTAAATGGTTTCAAAGGTAATTCACTGTCAACATGGTCAGTCCCGAGTGCAGCTAAAATACCTTCATAAAATTTCAAGGGTGAATTGTGCTCGCAAGCGATCACTTGAGATATCGGGCCACTCATTTTAAACTAGGTAATCAAAGAAAACGTAAAGAAGACAACAATTATTAAAGAACATATTTCATTTAACTAGTGAATAATGATAAAACCTCAGCTTTTCACATTTTGTATTCCGTTCATGTGACAGACAGAAACCAAAATTCAACTGAATTCAATTCAACTGTACAAAATACAAATTCAAAGTAGACGACCAAACCAAACCAATAGATGCGTTGTTAAAGTCCACAACCACAACCAGGGCTGCCGATACTCGGACTCACATTTCGCGAATTTTTTACTCACACGCTACTCACCAATCTAAAATTTACTCACTTGCTTCTCACTGATCGCGATTTTACTCACTTTTACTCACCGTTCTCAATTCTACTCACTTTTTACTCACCATTTCCCGATTTTACTCACATTGACATTGTTTTCACTCACCGATTACTCATCGTTTTAAATTTTACTCACCGATTACTCACACAAATTGCGCCAAAAATGGAGAATTACTGAGAATTACCCATGGATTTTGCATTACTCACGATTACTCACGGATCGTCGGATTACTCACCAATTACTCATTACTCACGTTTTACTCACCGGTGCTCAAATTACTCACGATGTGAGTAATTACTCACGAATCGGCAGCCCTGACCACAACTGCCCAACGAAAATTACCCGCTGAGCGTTGAGCTCAACGAAAGCGTTGGTAAATTCTGGTGGATTTACCCGTTTTCCAAGATGGCTGCTCAGCAAACTGCCCAACAGCTCAGCGAGGTTTTCGGCTGCTGTGGACCGCTGCCGAGTTTGCTGGATTGTTGTAATGTTATTGTTTACATCCATAACCGCCATTTTTTCACACTTCTTGGCCACATGTTCGTCACCAGACTGACTTGCAATTGCTTATAATCGTTTATTGTGTCAATTTCGTAATAATGTGGGTGTAATAAGATTTTTAAATGTTAAAAATCTTAAATTTCAACAAAACTTAACCTCCAAATCCGCAGAATCCAACGGGAATTTAACAACGACACCTCGATTTTCTCCCGTCTGTTGAGCTGACGTCGTCGTTGAGATGACGTCAATCCTGCTAAGATTCGGCCATTTTTGTTGGGCAGCAAAAGTAATTTAACAACGCACCTAATAATGAAAACAATGATGGTGGATGGTGGCGGTAAATGTCGGGGTCGGCATATTTTTTGATTGGTTGAGCCACCATTGACGCACCATGAATACGCAAATAGACCCGATGCTGTATGACGTCAAGAAGGTACGAAATGAAACCGCCAACGAGCATCCACCTTGGTTCCTTCATTATTATGATTCAGGAATCAGGAGGTGATGTAATGTGATAATGTGTTGAAATTTCGAGAGGATATCAGAAAAGTTTGGAGTGAAGTTTTGTTAATGTGTGTATGCCCGAACTCTTGTCATTCATGTTATTTTAATCATCCAAAAACTATTGCTAATTTGTGCCGGTTTTGCGAAGAGCTTTCCTCAGTGTAGCGCAGCAGTGCCATAGTATCGTGCAACAAAATAATTTTCTTGAACTTTTACTGCTTCAAGACGTTACATAATGTTAGCTTACAAAATCACCAGTCGATTATGTCCCTGCTCTCTTGCACATTCACATTGCGCTCCAGTGCAAGTCTCATTATTCTCTTCAAATTTAGTCCGGCGCAATAATTTCAGAGGCCTCTCATCTCGCAAAATACTGCCTTCTCTTCTATCCCGATTCAAAGTGCCAGCCTTTGTCAGGAAACTTGAGACTGTCGCTGTGGATAGTATCTCTTGCTCCATACCCACTCGGGGAAGCAAAGCTGTTGGATTTTGGCTGGCTGGATGTAGCGGCATGGTATTTGGAGCAGTCGCCCTTGGAGGTGTGACTCGTCTAACAGAATCAGGACTCTCTATGGTTTCATGGAAGCTTACGGGTGAGAAGTTACCTCTGACAGAAGTAGAATGGAAATCAGAATTTGAAAAATATCAAGAATATCCCGAGTTTAAGCTAAAAAATCAAAATATTTCACTAGCAGAATTTAAGTGGATTTGGTACATGGAATATGGGCATCGCATGTGGGGTCGCCTCCTTGGGGCAGTATTCCTAATCCCAGCCACATATTTTTGGAGTAGAGGGTATTTCAATTCCTCTCTAAAGAGACGCACAATAATTTTTACATCCTTGATTGGTGCTCAAGGTCTGTTAGGATGGTATATGGTCAAATCTGGACTGGAGGATAGATTTCATGAACCAAGTGATGTCCCTCGAGTATCTCAGTACCGACTTGCTGCTCATCTCACAATGGCCTTTACTCTGTACTCATTATTTTTGTGGTCTACCTTGGATCAACTCTTGCCATCAATGAGCTTCAAAGAGATCAGTCCGAGCTTGAGGAAGTTAAGAGCTGTTACACACTCAACAAAAGGCTTAGTATTCTTGACAGCAATTTCTGGAGCATTTGTAGCAGGTCTGGATGCTGGTTTAGTGTACAATTCCTTTCCTAAAATGGCAGATAGATGGATTCCTCAAGATTTATTTGCTTTTTCACCAATCTTAAGAAACTTCACCGAAAATCCCACCACAACTCAATTCGTCCATCGAATTCTTGGTATATCAACACTCTCTGTCGCATCTGGGATGTGGTTGCTATCACGCCGTTGTCATCTCCCTCATCGAGCAGCTTTAGCTGCAAATGCTGTTGCAGCAGTTGCATGGTTTCAAGTTGCTCTAGGTATCACTACTTTATTGCTGTATGTTCCTGTCCCAGTTGCTGCATTACATCAGTCAAATTCTTTGATTTTACTTTCATGTGCCATTTGGCTATCGCATGAACTCAAAAATGTTAAAAGGATCATTAAATGAATAAAATCAGTCAGCTTCATCGAATATTTTTTCATGTTAAGTCAAATCAGTAGCACCATGAGAACTGAAACTTAAGTCTAAATTTTTGACCTGAAGTAGCATTGATGTCGCCGGGATTAGCTTTTTATTAGAGGAAGAGCTGAGATTTTATTCCTCTTGACATTATCATTGTTTGGTATCAATAGATGTGTGAGACCTCTATGATACGATAATAAGCCACCAAAGACTTTCATACTTAGCCATCTGTCAGTCATTTAGTTTAGATCAAGGTCTTCACAAATGGGACAGAAAGGAGGTGAAAAAAAGGCATGAGCCTGACGTGACACTTTTTTTCCAAAGAGCAATTAATTAACTTATCATAGTCGTCAGGTACTTGCCCACAAACTTTCATGATCCTAGCTGTAAAATTTAGTAAGATACGGTAACTTTTTCAGAATACGGTTGGGTTTTATCAACCAAGATGTCGGAAGGAAAAGGTGCCCTGAGAGAAGACAAGTTTCCTAGCACAAGTAAATATAATAGGGAATGCGAGAGTTTCTATTTAAATCTCTAAATATACATCCATTGTATAAATTTTAATCGAAACTCGATACCCTTTAAGTATACTATTGACAAAATAAATAGACAATATTGACCGATCAATAACACTTTGTGATGAAAGTGTGAACCAGTATAAAGTTCAAGCGCAAATTTTTATGACATATGATTTCTACATCAGGTATGCAGACATTTTGTCTATTCATTAGTACATTCATGTACCAAAATTGGACTGGTGCTTAGTGAGCTAAAGTTGTTCCAATAAATTTGTTAAAATGGAATTTGTAGGCCAAAACTGAGATATTCGTTATTTTTGGTCAACTACTCTCCAAGCATAACAAACAGAAAAGATAGTCAGAACCCAATTTCCAGTTGTTTATTTTATCTGCACTTTTTTTTCTTATAGCTGAAAGACCTGAAAAATACTTCAAACTTTTTATATTAACTTCTTTTTTTGAAGTCCTGAAAAAGTATAACACAGCACAACAAATGTTTGTCCTGAGAACCAAACCAATTTTTTTCGATTCCTATGTGATATAGAAGTCGGAAAATGCCCATAATAACTTCAGAAAAATTGGATGGCGCTCAGGGCATCGCCATTTTGAATTTTCCAAAATTGAGAAAACCTACGATCAGTTTTTTGGAAATATCTCCTCAACGGTTAAGTTTACAAAAAAAAAAAAAAAAAAAAAAAAAAAAAAAAAAAAAAAAAAAAAAAAAAAAAAA